ATACTGTTCAATGAAGCGTTAATCCAAACTCATTCTCTTACTGCATGTGAAACTAGGGCATGGCCTCTCGGTGCGCTAGAAATATGAAAACAGACGTAAGTCTGGACTAGTGCAAGCAGCCACACACGTGCATGCGCGTCAGTGAAATAATCTTGAACTCCATGTAAACCCATCTTACCTTATTTCACCTATACATACATTCTGTTTCCGCTGTCTGAACCACGTGTATGTACAGTAAACTACGTTTATAACGAACATGGGTATAACGAACTGACCGATATAACGAACTTATTTTTAGTCCTGACCTTTTGTTGTATAAATGATGTATATATGCTTATAACGAACTACGGTTATTACGAACTAAAATAAGTGGTCCCTTCGAGTTCGTTATAACCGTAGTTTACTGTGTGTATAAACAGGCGGATCGAGTCAGTCCCTATTGCCCACTGTTTCCACCACTGTTTGGTTTCGCTGTAGACAACACTCGCCGACCGAGAACATCGATTTGTGTTTTCTTTGCCTGGCAATCAGTCGAACTAATCGAGTGTATTTTCACGTAACCAGAGTCGTCGTATTGTGCCATGGCTCGACGTAATTGCATATTAACTCATTTATCACCTGGCAGCTGTCCAAAGCATCATCAATAAGTCACATGATCATTGGTGTAAGTAAACACCGTGTCACGTGATCGCACAGATGTTCTTCCAATATTCCTCCATTACATGTGCATGAGAGCTCCGCAGCAATATATTTAGCTCTTTTCAACATGTTGTGACAATTATGATTAAAGACGGATATGCCTTTAAGGTCTCTTGTCATTGCCTCCTTGTGTGGGGGTGATAATTAACCAATTTACCCATAGCAACCGGTTCTAATTTTGGATTTGTGAGACGTATAACACTCAGTCAGCAAAATAATGGTAGTGTTAAGAAAACCTGATTAAAGTAGCTGTCACTGCATTTTTTGCGTGTGTTGACTGTCTTTAAGAGGGTCCTCTTCCCGAGGCATGGGAGTTAACTGACTATAAAAGTCCAGTTTCCACCCTTGCCGAACTAGGCAGGAATTATGGAGTTACATTTTGGCTGGACTAACGAGACTATGCATAGTCCAATCAAAATCGCGCACCGAAATCGAAATACGGTTAGTAAACTGTCGTGCAGATTTCGGTCGATTGCAGGATTTACAAAGCATGTGCACCGCCAACTCGTTGTCAACAGATAATTTCAAAGTCTTTTCATGTTTCTAATCAAGATGCTCACTTGATTTGATGCTCTTCGCGATGTAAGACGCGTTTTATCACAATATAGACCTTTTGTTTGAAACAAATGCAAGTGATACGAGAGGTGGAATCTGATTGGTCCATAGGAGAGGCTTAGAAGGGACATAACTCGTAATAACCACTGATTGCGCAACGATCGAGCCCAGGAATTCAAGCCCAGTTCGGCAAGGGTGGAAACTGGGCTTTGAAAGTCAGTTCACTACTTGCCTCGGGAAGATGTAAGCGGGTTTGCCCTGTGGATATTCTAAGTAGGATGCTGGGTGTAAAGCTAAGCCGACTTAGGATGACCGGTGTCAGACTCTGTGACTTGGCTGATTTTGTCTGTTCGAGTCCCGATGATGTAGATCGTTGCTTGAATCAGTAACGTATTATGTCTATGCTTTAACAGAGGCTTACAATAATTCAACCAATATACATTATTATCATATTATTATTTCTCAAATTTGTCGAAGTTTCTATCATTTTTTAAATCTTCGTCTCATTATGATTATTGAACCCTTGCTTCTCTTTCTTCTCCTTCTTAGCCTCCTGCTCCTCCTTCGTCTTCCTCTCCTGCTCTTCCTACTCCATCTTCTTCTTCTGCTCCACCTCTGTCGTCCGTCTTCTCCCTCTGCATGTTTTCCTTCGTCTTACTCTCATGCTCTTCCTCCTCTATCGTCTTTTGTTCCACCTCTGTCATCCTTCTTCTCCTCTGTATATTTTCCTTCCTCTTCTTTCCCTGCTCTTCCCCGTCCATCTTCTTCTGCTCCTTCTCCGTCATCCTTCTTCTCCCTCTGCTTCTTTTCCCTCGTCTTTTTCTCTGATCCTCTACTTATCATATGAATAATAATTTCAGAGGAATCAGCAGAATCGGAACCGGCGTGGAAGGGGTCAGGGCAGAATGTCGGGCTTCAAATATGGAGGATAGAGGTGAGACTCCCTATCACTGAACATACCATAATATGTGCGCAACTAAATGATGCCCACCTGGTTAGAACCAGGATGTAGAAACTGTAATGTCATACTGGTATTTTCTTTTTAAAAAGAATATCAGTTTGAACCATCGAGAAGTTTTTTTCTAAACGATTGTGACATTTTATTTCCAGAAATTCAAAGTGGTCCATTTACCAAAAGAAGACTACGGTAATTTCTTCAGCGGGGACTCGTACATTGTTCTTAACGTGAGTATGAGGTGCTTCATAGCGTTCCGTTAACTAAACAATATATATATAATCCAATATGCAAAACCATTTGCAGGAATATCTCATAAATAGTGTGCACGTGGATTTTGCCCAAATATGGAAATGATGTGTACGTCTAAAATAAACCTGAAAACAGATTATAATAAGATTTGTAGATTTATGTTGGGAGCTAGGTCGTCACGCCCCTGTCTTACCTCAGCCCAGTGGGACAGCCTGGTGGTTAAAGCGTTCGCTCGTCCCGCCGAAGACCCGGTACAATGGGTACGGCCCATTTCTTATATCCGGCTGTGAATTTGCCGGTATATTGTAACAGCGACGTAAAACCATACTCACTCACCCACACTAACTGAAAACGCGACATAACAGAGAATCGGACAGGCACATCAATAAAGAGCTGACAGTGTCTGGCTGCATTGGTGAGAACCTAATGACCACGGTCATCCGCTTGGTCAGCTGACAGGGATCCGACCAAACTCTACAGTGATATAGCAGTTTATTATAGTCAGCTTTTGTGGTCAGAATAGGTCCCCTGCAAGCTCTGCTGGTCCTAAGCCGCGATTTACTGGACCGGGTGGTCAGGACTTGCTAAGTTGTAGTTCAGGGTAACCCGGCAGCGCTCTTAACATCAATCACGAGTTTGTCTGCTCCAGACTCGATCTTTTACAGGCCGTCGTTATATAGCTGGTATAGTGCGGTGTGTGGCGTGACACAAAAATCAAGCAAATATAACTTATTACTTTTAATTATTATGCATGTCATAAGTCGAAGATTTATTTCTATCACAGACATACAAAGAGAAAGATTCTAAGGAGCTCAAATATGATGTCCACTTCTGGATTGGAAAAGAGAGTACACAGGTAAGTGGGCGGATATGTTTGTCCTGTAGTGTACATCAGTTGAACACACCGTTACTGCTGTTTCGTTTCTCGTGACTCCTACACGAGCATAGCCGAAAGGTATTGTTTTGCGACACAACACTCAATATATTATCACATTGTTATTAACTTGGCGTTTCATGAACATAAATAAACATGAGTTTATTCAGGGCCCCGCTTCACAAGCGCTAAGGCTGTCGTAACTTTCATACTTTAACACAGACTTTTGACACACGTACACGTGGACCTTGTTAACTCGCGTTGTAGTTATATTGGGGTAGCCAAGAGGATAAAGCACTCGCCCGTCACGGCATAGCAGGTGTACGATTCCCACACCAGCACTCTGTGTCCAATTCTTGGTACCCTCTTTCGTGATATTTGTTCTTTTTTCCTTGGGGAGGTGGGGTAGCCTTGTGGTTAAAGCTTTTGTTCGTCACCACGAAGGCCCGGGTTCGATTCTCCACATGGGTACAATGTGTGTAGCTCATTCCTGGTGATATCGCTGGACTATTGCTAAAAGCGGCGTAAAACCCCACTCACTCTTTTAACTTAGCTCAATCATTCTTTCAGGACGAGTACGGCACAGCAGCGTACAAGACGGTGGAACTAGATACCTTTCTCAATGACGCCCCAGTCCAGCACCGAGAAGTGGAAAGACACGAATCCACAATGTTCAAAGGTTACTTCAAGAGCCTCACGTGAGTAGTAGTAGTAGTAGTAGTAGTAGTAGTAGTAATAGTAGTAGTAGTAGTAGTAATAATAATAATAATAATGATGATGATGAAGATAATAATAATAATAATAATAATAATAATAATAATAATAATATAAGGCATATTTCCACGCCACACAGGTGGCATGCTCAAAGCGTTATTATTACCCCGGTCACTGGATGAGTGTGCACTCAAAACTCATTCTGGACTCCTTGGGGAGTAAACAACTCAAGCTGCATGAACTGCATGAACTACAGTGAATTCAGACATCATAGATTTACATATTCCTTGCGATCATACTGAGCGGGCTGTCCCGTCTCCATTACTAGGTTGGTTGCGTGTCATCGTATACATCGATGTGCCGTCACGGTTTAGGTTTCCATTGGGAATTCTGAATGTAAATGGGCGATGTTGTCTTTTCTTCCAACGCTTGGATCATTGTTCCCAAAATACATGTTTTACCAAAGTGTACATTGAACTTGCAGCTACTTGAAAGGTGGCATTGCTTCCGGCTTCCGCCACGTGAAACCAGAGGAATACAAGACCCGGCTCTTGCAGTTCAGGGGAAGCAGAAGACAAGTCCAAGTTACAGAGGTGGGCGTGGTTTCTTGGTGCCAATCTGCGAAAATGGATAATGCTTAAACTTAATACAACAGCATACTTTCATATCAGTTACATCAACAGCATCCTTTACAATTGAAGTGATCGTGAAACTAGTCATGGTCTGGGACACCTATAACCAATATTCAATAGTCACGTTTAATCAAATCACTTATGCTGTATCATTTTGGGGTTATTAAATGAAAATTATGATCTTCCTCATCTAGTGCCATGACAAGAAAATACAGAAAATAACTTCCTTAACATCCTTTGCCAATGTGAGTTTGAGAGAAGACAAAGGACATGCATATATTATTAAAGATGACCTCTTAATTGAGATTAAGAATTAAAAAAACATGTTCTTCGCACGTATCTGAAATAAAACTGAAAATGAAACGTGGTATCAGAAGCAATGAGACTCTTGTTCCTTCTGGACTTGTATTTGGACTTGTCTTCAGTGAACATAATAACATTGTTAATTTTTCGCTTCTAGATGTCAGCATGCAGAACGAAATTAAACTCCAACGATGTCTTCATACTCGACACAGGCAGGAAGGTGTACCAATGGAATGGGAACGGATGTAACAAGGACGAGAAATTGAAGGTTTGAGCATTAAAATTATTGATTTTTTTTAAATGTATTACGCTTCTATCTTGTTTGATGTTTGACCAAGAAGATTAAAATAGTTTTCACCCTATTCGAATGCGAATGTATGTTTGACCAACAACTTGATAATAACGTTTCATCTTGTAAAAATATGTTCAACGCATACGAGTGTTTGACTTGAAATTTCCGAAACAGTTTCCATAATGTTTGACTGTTTATTTGCGAATGCACGTACGAATGCGGGAATCGATAATACATAAGAAGCACATTACGAGCGATAAAACAAACCGTTTCCTTACTAATGAAAACATTCTATAATGTGCTTAACATCATGCTATCGTTGACCATTCTAAGACAGACTTAATTAGAGATATATATGCCCTTTGCAACATGTTTTAGTTCATGTGGGTTGCGGAATATCCACGAGTAATGAATAGCATGTGATAGGAAGTGTTCTTTTTACTGCTATAATGTACCGTACGTAAAGGGCAGTTACCTCAAGTTTTCTCAAAATTAAAGGGAGATAACTAGTTTTTCAATAATGTAATCTCCAGACAGCAAATATGGTTGATCAAAATTAGTTCGTTTTAAAAGAATTTCGTTTTTTCGCATGAAGGGTAATTTTTATTGCAGCTCCCTTGAAAGATATAGTATGCTTTCTTTGCCATATCCGACTTGGTTATAATCGGATTTCATAATAATATTTCAGGCGGTGCAATATATCCAACAGCTGAAGTCGGACAGGCATGGCAAGGCAACCAGCGAATCGGTCGAACAAGGTGATGAAGATGTAAGTGAGGGCAGTTATTTACAAAGTACTTTCTTCTCAAATTCGAGGAGGGAGGTATAATTCCTTTTATTCATTTTTGAAAATGAAAGTGTTGAGAGAGACACTTTTTGTTTTTTCCACACCAAGAATAAACAACACAACTGATCACACATTGAACTCGCCCCTATAATACAATGTCAGTTGTCAAGCTTGTTATTTTAATAATATTCTTATCATGGCAATAATTAACGCTAAGGATTTATCTTAACGCGCTGATGACCGAGTCACATTTTATTGTATTAAGTCCAACTGCTTTGACCTTTCTGAGTTGGGGAGAGCTGCAGCAGTGTTCGTACTAATGCAGTGGGTAGTCAATAGGTCTCCAGTAGTTATCCATAAATTGATGTGATTGTTACAGTAGTCGATAGGTCTCTAATAGTTACCCCTAAATTGATGTGATTGTTACAGTAGTCAATAGGCCTCAAACAGTGACCTCTAACTTCATGAGAATGTTACAGTGGTCAATAGGCCTCGAATAGTTACCCAGAAGTTGATGTGATTGTTACAGTGATCAATAGGTAGCCAACAGTTTCTCCAAAGTTGATGTTATTGTTGCAGGAGGACTTCTGGAACCACTTCACCGACGAGGATGATGATGATGATGATGATGATGATGCAACAGATGACGGCACCAAACGACTTTACAGGTGAGAAGTAAAATATTAGATTTATTACTTACATTCTCGGCAGAAATTCCTTCATATTACTATAGTTAATATGACAGGTTAACGATACTAATATGAAAGTTTTGGGTGATCCTTAACTTTTTTTAGTTGTATATATTGCCTGTTATCGTTCGACTGATCATTCAGGAATAAACACTATGTATGTTGTTCGCCAAGACTCACTGATATTTACAATCCCAAAACACAGAAGCATGATCATGTCTGGATATTGATTATGAAAATGCACAAAATGGATTTCGGCGATTAGAACATCTGGACTTTGCAAATGCCTCCATCAACAGTCGATCATAGCGAGAAATTTGTTGTTTTACTCCTGATATCTTGCCAATGGGAAGATGCGTTTCTCTCCATTCCTGCCATAGTATGGTGGCAAGAAAACCACGTATCTGTATACATTCCGTCTTAAGGGAAACCTTTAGTCACATCGGTATTTTTCTTTTTCTTTCTAGAGTCACAGATGAGGGCGGGTCAATGAAAACGATTCTCGAGAAAGAAGGCCAGATCTTCAACAAAAGCATGTTGGATGTCAAGGTAAAAGTATACTAGATTGTAAATGTACAGTACTGCCCAGAAACCAAGTCCCCTCAATCACAACCAGGACGTTTATTTGTGATTGGTTAGTCAATACAACGTCATCGCGTTCAGGTTAGGTTTGTTTGTTTGTTGTTTAACGCCGCACTCAGCAAAATTCCAGCCATATGAAGGCGGTCTGTCAATAATCAAGTACAGTGATTGACATCATGAGCATCGATCTACGCAATTGTGATCGAGCCTGACCACCGGACCCAGTTAGTCGCCTCTTACGACAAGCATAGTTGTCTCTTACGACAAGCATAGTTGTCTCTTACGACAAGCATAGTTGTCTCTTACGACAAGCATAGTTGTCTCTTACGACAAGCATAGTTGTCTCTTACGGCAAGCATAGTTGTCTCTTACGGCAAGCATGGGTTGCTCAAGGCCTATTCTCAACCCGAATCTTTACGGTCTCGCGTTCAAAGTGTTCTGTCCTATGTATGTTTAGTAAAGTTCCATTTATACCTAAATCCTACAATGTGTAAACTTCTCACCAGAATTACATATATCTTTTATGGACCCAGTCGTCTAAAACGCCGCAATTCTATTTGCAGAGTTGTGTCCCTTAGGCGTTTAAAAAACCTGTAATCACGGATTCGAATCCCAGATTCGTTCTGATTATATTTCTAGGGTTGTCAGTACCATACCCATACTCGTGGGGTTTTACCTACGTCATACGCGTATAAGACCTGCATCACATGACCCGGATGCATTCCTCACACGTGAAGCTGACACGCCATAATATGGCTGTAATAATGTTCAAAGAAGCTTCAGCCTAATCTCACACACATATCGTTTGAGAATACCCGTATAGAGGATAAAACAAGCGAAACCGACACTGATTTGTTTTGCTTTCAGGACGTGTTTATTCTGGATACCTCAAAGGAAGTGTTCCTGTGGGTCGGCAGGAGGGCGTCTAATAACGAGAAGAAGAATGGCATGGGATATGCACATGTAAGTAGACTATGTGGCGTTCGTGGACCGTCACATTGGTAACTTGTGTGATGCGGGGTGTGCAGTCTAAGAGACCAAACCGAAAGAGCCAGTGACTGTCATCCACTATGAGAGATCAGGTCTGGTGGTTAAGGCCTCAATCACAGAAAAAGACGTCGGTTCCATTCCCCAAATTACACTGTGTGAATGCTGGCGGTAGTGATATTCTTAAATGTGTTGAGTGGAACCAGCTGGATGAGAGTATGTGCACGAGTCTGAGTCTGAAGCCTAAAGAAGGCTCACGGTAGATGTTACTGGTAGCAGTCCCTAGCGTCTTAATACCAGAACTCTGTTCTATCGCCGTATTCATGTAGATACAGACACAGATGCTGTTATAGAGCGGCATAAAACAGCATCGCCTCACTGATTTGTACCCGGTTCTTCCCCGGTTGTAACTTTCACATCCCTTCTTTCTCATCCGCCCTTCACCACATACAACAAAATTAAATAGCATGCCACGTGCATAATGTTTGTTTGTTTATTTGTTTGTTGTTTAACGCCGCACTCAGCAATATTCCAGCTAAATGACGGCGGTCTGTAAATAATCGAATCTGGACTAGACAATCCAGTGATTGGTACCATGAGCATCGATCCACGCAATTAGGATCGATGACATGCATCAACCAAGTCAGGGAGCCTGACCACCCGATCCCGTTAGTCGGCTCTTACAACAAGCATATTCACCTTTTATGGCAAGCATGGGATGCTGAAGGCCAATTCTACCCCGGATCTTCACGGATGCATAAGCATAACGAATGTGCTTAATGATTGGTTCGAGATCAGAATTTGACAAAAAACTTGTTTGTTTCAGAAATACCTGCAAACAACATCTCACCCTCTTATCCCTGTCACAGTTATCAAAGAAGGGCAGACGTCACAGGGAACATTCAACAGCCACTTTTCAGCTGCAGCATAAAATGTTAGTATCATCACCTGAACAGCCAGCAAGCGTAGGACCTGATGTGTTAGATACTTACTATGGTCATAGCACTGTGGTATTTACTCACAGAATTTTCTAAATTTCAAAATGACCTTGACCTATATTTTATGTGACCTTTAAATTATGGACATACAGGTCAAGGTCATTAACGGAATCATATCCCACTGCTTTGTCTTCAATTTTGTGTCAAGTCACAAAAATATTTTCAGACCGTTTTGTTGAAGAAGGAAGTGATAATATTGATGAGGAATACAGCTTTTAGTGAAATATAGAGGTAGAACTTGTTTAGTGCAATACTTTATTATTTTACTATGTTTAAATCAGTACACTTGTAATGGTATTCACTGTTATCTCAGCTCATACAGTATATACAAGTGGAAGCAATAACAAAATGAGACCTATTTATAAGGCTCTTGGTGAAACACTTATAATGTAATGGACCGCTTTTTATCTTTCCAATTTGATAGTAACATAACATTTTATTCATTCTTCATTTTGTATGGATTTGGAATTTGCACTTCTTCTGATAATATCACATATCACATCATAGTATATCATAATCAGCGAGTAATATCATAGGAGAATTTAAACTCAAGTAAACATGTTTGTTTTTGCGATGCCTCTGTTAGCTATGGGTCGATTTGAAGGGTTAATAATCTCGAATCTAATAATATATTACGGTACAGACTACTCCATATCATAGTGTTGTTTTTTTCATTGTCTTTATAAGAATTTCCAAGAAAGGCAAAAAGTGAAAATTATGAAAAACTAATAATTAATTGGCCCTCATGAAAATAGGTTTCTGAACATGATTTGTTTTGTGGGTAAGCGACATCCTTCATTTGTGTATTGTTTTCATCGTGCAGTACGGTTTTCCCAATAATGATAACTCTGCTATAGTTACTAGATTGACGCGACTGTTACCATGGATACCTACATGTTGCACGTGCCACAGCAATGTAATAATGTGTATATATTTAACTTTATGATAATATATGCATTTACATGCGAGACTTTTAAATTAGCGATAGAGAAACATCACACAAATGTCTATATATTACAATGGTGCATGCGCTTACAAACTGATATTTTGTCAAAGGTTTACTTGTCTGTCAACATATATTGGGTCAGTAGGGGTTGTGTCAAAGGTTTAAATGGATAAGGGACTTCATATGAACATTCCAATATCAAGACTATATGTCCTTTAACAGTCATGTTTATGGTTTTGATACAACCCCAATGATACTTTGTTATTGTATAATATATCGTTGTTCGCATGGTTTAATAATTAACTGCCTTAAGATTATAGAGCTGTGATATGATATGGGTCTCAACATAATAATTGTAATAAATTAAATTTGTGTATGGCTGATATATTTCATTGATGCGTGACAGACTTCAAATCACCAAATAACAATTTGTTGTGTAATCATTAAACGAAGGCTAAGTTGCTATGTACTTCTGTTGATAGAAATTACTGTTAATCTTCCTTGATATTTCTATTATTAAAACATAATCATCTCATGGCAGTGTGTCTTACTTGTATCACACAATTTTTTTTTTCAAGTTTTTAAAAATACAATTGTTTGGTTCTTGGCCCTGTTGGTGACTTTGTCTGTATTTTTGGTTATAAAATACTTTGTTTATCCTTTCTTGATTAAATCGCATTTTGGTAAGAATGCAAAGACAAGTAATGTGAGATTAGTTTGTGGAGATTTGTGTGATACTGTTCATCTGTTTGTTGCAATTAACACCAAATAAATAATGTAATCCGCATATTTTCATATATCTTCTCAATGATTTCTCATCAATAAAAACATTAAACAGCTACGTATGTTTTATTTTCTGTTGTTAAGATCTGAAGCGATGATGTCGCTAGATTTTAAAGTGGTTATGCCGGGGAACGCATACTCTATATCTTCAGGGCTCGCAGCTCGATAAACCTACACCAACCCTTGAATCCATTACCATGGTTCTCTCAATCTCAAATTACCTGCCCTTGATTTTCATTAGCCCATTTGATTTGCTACACTACCCTGTCTAACGGACCAATCAGAATACGAGTTACAAACCAGCCTCACTGTTTGGTTAGCGATATCAACAACATGGCGGCCGGTCAATGTTTAAGATAGCATTGGAAAAGTGACACGCGAAAGAAAACCCTCTATTATCATTTCGGTTTCTAGGTAGTACGAGTTACCTCCCCTACCCAATTTGTTTTTTCCCTTGTATCGACGTTTGAGAGATCGGTAAAATGTAAATGAACATCAAGGGCAGGTAATCTGAGATCGTGAGAAGCACGGGAATGGATCAGGGGGTTTGTGTACGTTTACCGAAATGCGAGTCCCGGAGATATAGAGGATGAGGGGTGCAATAAAACTGCAGTACTGTGTCCACGTTGACAGACTGACATGTGGACCGTTTGTTTGTTTGTTTGTTGTTCAGCGCCTCAGTCAGCAATAGTCCAGCTATATGACGGCGGTTTGTAAATAATTGAGTCTGGACCAGACAATCCCGTGATTGATATCTTGAGCATCGATCTATGCATTTGGGATACGATGACATGCATCAACCAAGTCAGCGAAGCCGACCACCGGATCCCGTTAGTCGCCTTTTACAACAAGCAAAGTCGCCTCTTACGGCAATCATGGGTTGCTGAAGACCTATTCTCTACCCGGACCTTCACGGGTCTCAAGATAATGAATAACTGAGTGTTTAAACAATAGAATATGACGTAACATGTGTGTTTTAGCTGTGGGAAAACAGACGTTCTCATCTGCAGCAGGATCAGCTATGTAGAGAAAACGTCATCGTGACCCGACGTTCATACTTTCACCCACTTGTTTGTCGGGTCAGGATTCGATAACTTACAGGCTCTGTGATATGCCTGGACTCATTGGATAAAGGGATTCTGGATTTTTCTACTGTAAATTCAAAATGAGACGCTTCTGACTAATTAGAACTATGTACATACACACTGAAGGTAAGAATTCAAATGTGACCACCCTCTAAAAACGTTTTCTTGAAATTATGAATTGTCCATCCAGTAAACTACATTCATTCGTGCAATTATCTCAAAAAAGAAATAACGAAATGATATTCGTTTTCAAGCGGACATAAAATATATTCACAAACAATCGAGTGGAAGTAAGGATAAGAATTTATGGATGGATCACTTGCTTGATAACGGTGTTAGAACCTACACCGAAACGTCGCTCCTAATTGTAATATAGAAGTTGATCACCCATACAATCTTATCCTTACTTAGTACTCCAACTTCTAAATGCCTATCAAAGAAGTTAAATCGAGTGAACGTGTTCCCAGTACAGAGTTCAAATTGATCTAAGAGGTGAGGTGAAATTGGGTTTAACGTCGCGTCCAAGATTACTGCACTTATATAGCGACGTCCTTGCACGTGTGTGTGACTGTTTGCACTAGGAACTAGTAACTAGACTGATAACGAAATATACCATGCCGCAGTTTAACATGAATACCCCATTCAAACACAGTATACTGACTCCGAGCCGACCAGTCCTTGTTTTAGCCCCTTCATGTCGAACGCCAGACAGGGTAACAACAAGTACCATCTTTTAACGTCTTTTTGTATAACGCGGGGGATCGAACCTCGGACCATCCGCTCTCCAGGCGGACACTCTACCTCTAGACTACGGAGGCGGTCCTTGATCTAAGAAATGGCAAAATCCCTTTCACATGGCAACAATGGTATTTCGCTCTGTAACGTTTACTCGATATTTACTGATACTGTGATCGCAAGTTCGATTTTTAGATATTAATAAATATGTTTCGAATTTTGTTATATCTAAAAATGATTTGGTGATAAAACAAAAAACAACTAATGCGTGATATTAATAATTCCTTCTTTATATTACTAAGTATTTATATCTAAAAATAATTCGGTTTTATTGATGTCTAAAGGTCGAATGTGAGATATCAATGAAATAAATATATTTATTGATGTTTATTTAAAAATCGAATTTGTAATAAATTAATTATTGACATCACAAACATAGGGAATAAATAGCAAAACGGCGCCCCAGACACGGCGGGATACACGAGAAATCGGCTTCATACATGGCAGCCATGTGGGGAAGTGAACCCGGACGAACTTGACGAACTAACGCACCAGCTGTTTCATCTTGCTGACCCAACGCATTTTATGAAAATCACATCATGACATTTACATTTTGTAACATTCAAAAACAATAAGTGGTATTCTTAGGGACCAATTCAAAAGTTTGATGTCAAAAGATCTAAATTTCTTAAGTTAATGGACCTGCAAGTTTACCATCCGACAAAACGAACTTAGCTGATTTCTCAATGTTTTATACAGTAACTGAGCTAAGCCGATCCTGCTTTCATTCATAGGCTGCTAGGAGTTGTCATACATCCAGGTTTTCCACCAGGTAGGGTTTATCGTCGCCGGCAATAGTCCACCCAGTGCAGTGCGTAATATATGATGACAGATTTGTCCTATAAAAACCCTACAAATGATTGTCAACACCTAGGAAATAAACTTCGTTCGATAAAAGTTCCGAATAAAACAGATCAAAACACGAGAATGCGTGACAAAAAAGGCTAAAAAAGGCACTAAACATGGGAATTTAACATTTTCAGAATAAAGTTCATTTGGTGGTATGTCTCATATCTAAAGAAATTACGTTTTTTGTAACCGACATGGAACTTTTGAACTATTCCCTAAGATAATGGACAACATTAAGGATCGAAAGACAATCAGGAGAAAATGTCTACAAGAAGCGGAATCCTGGCATATGTGACATTACCATGGAAACGAAGGACACCCATAGTGGCTATGAAATGGATACTGCAGAAATGCGTTGCTGACTCTGCGCTATTCGGCACATCGTGTCCTCGTTATCGAGCAGTACGCAACGCACTGTGTTTCGTCTGGCATTGTTGCTTGTATTCTTTCATATGCATGAAGTGTTCATTTTTTCGATATTAGGAGTATCAAGAATCTGGAAGCTATTCTGGCACGTGTTGCTACACGCTGACACTCCGTCTCATGTCTTTTGAATTTGTCAGAGACCATAGTACTATAGAACCTCGCCAATACGACCCTTGGGTTTGTTTGTTTGTTGTTTAACGCCGCACTCAGCAATATTCCAGCTATAAGGCGACGTTCTGTTAATAATCGAGTCTGGACCAGACAAACCAGTGATTGACATCATGAGCATCGATACTGTATAGTAATTGCGATACGATGACATGCACCCCTGACCATCCAATCCCTTTCGTTGCCTCTTACGACAAGCACAGGTTGCTGAAGATCAATTGCAACCCGGATCTTCATGGGTACGGCTCTTTGGTAAAGTGAGTGAGTGAGTGAGTTGGGTTTAAAGCCGCTTTTAACAGTATACCAGTTATATCGCGGTGTGTCAGCTTAATGTGGGAAGAAAGCCCGAAGTGATGCATGTCTCAGACCTTTACCACTTCGGTGAAACCCACGAGAACTGGTATGGTGCTGACAAACCTAGAAACATAATCGGGGCGAACCAGGATTCGAACCCACAATCATAGGTTTCTGGCGTGCCCAAGGGACGCAACTCTGCACAGCGAATCGCGAAGCCTCCGACGATTGGGCCACGCGTCTAAATTCGGACCGAGTGAATGCCTAATGAATGTCTTGTGAATGTATACGCCAATATATTGTTTTATGTCGCGTTCAGAAATATTACGTACATCTGTTTCGCATCGGCATGCATGTACAGTATTCAATGAAAACTCAGAAATCTGTTTAGTCCTGGCGTCCAATGTGGCATATGCATGGTCCTGTGGTGTAAGTCGACCGCCTCCGTGGTCTAGTGGTAGTGCTTCCGCCCAGATAGCGGAAGGTCCGGGGTTCAATCACCGGCCGCGTCATACCAAAAGACGTTAAAAGATGGTACTTGTTGTTACCCTGTCTGGTGCTCGGCATTTAGGGGCTAAAACAAGGACTGGTCGGCTCGGAGTCAGTATACTGTGTCTGAGTGGGGTATTCATGTTAAACTGCGGCATGGTGTCTCAGTGTGCTAGCACTATAAATCAGCATCAGTCCGGACTAGTACAAGCACCACACACACACACGCACGGACATGGACGTCGCTATATAAGTGCAATAATCTTGGACGCGACGTTAAACCCCATTTCACCTCACCTCACCTGTGGTGTAAGTCGCCACCCTAACCATGCACAGTTCTATGTACCAGAATCCGCTGGCCGTGATTTTCAAAGTCAGACTCGAGCCCTGATCATGATCATTTGTTTGGCAGCACCATCCTATGGTAGTTGTTGTACTTGGATGATAACCATCTTCATCTTGCGTCAGGGGGAACGGGTGGCCCAGCCGTCTTAGGTGCCGCTATTCGCTGTGCAGAGTTGCGTCCCTTGGGCACGCCAGAAACCTATGATTGTGGGTTCGAATCCCGGTTCGCCCCGATTATGTTTCTACGTTTGTCAGCACCATCCCCGTGCTCGTGGGTTTCACCGAAGTGGTAAACGTCTGAGACCTGCATCACTTCGGGCTTTTCTCCCGCATTAAGCTGACACGCCGGGATATAACTGGAATAGTGTTAAAAGCGGCGTTAAACCAAACTTCATCACTCACGCACTCATCTTGCGTCACTCAATATGGACTCTGGGATATAGTTCAATGGATACCATCAACAAGTCAAACTTTTTCTTTTAAATATATGTAAACGGTTTGAGCATGGGCGGCTACAGGGGGGGGGGGGGGGGCACCCCCCCCCCCCCAACACACACACACACCCCACACCCCACACCCCACACCCCACACCCCCACACCCCCACACACACCCTTTTATTTCGAAACAAATCTTTATTTCTGTATAAATTATCACCAAAGACAATAAATAGATCTTAATTGTGCACCCCCACCCCTCCTTTTCAAAAAAGCTGTATCCACCAATGTTGAGTGTTTGTAAAGTTATTAGAACTAGACCTTGGAAAAATATATTCAAACTTCCCGCCACTTGTCAATTTTGTGCTATTTACGTACCACGTGATCTAGCCGATAAAAAGCAGGAAGTATTTCGACATCGACGCGAGCGGCCCGAGAAGATCGTGCGGCTGGTTTGTGTTGCGTTCACTAGACTGATTACACTTCCTCGTTGCGTCGACTCCCCTCAGACACCTTCCAACGTTCTCCTCTGTAAGTAGATGTTCAAACTGACAGCGACACGTTTACACTGTAATTTTACTAGGGCAGCTTATGTTTACAAAATGTGTCATGTTTCACAATCAGGCTTCTGAAACTCTTGTAATGGATGTTAAGAGGAAAACGCCATGCTGGGGCCATTTCTATTGTCTGGAGTAAAGGCCGTTTAAATGTTGGGCCAGTTAAAACACCATTAAGCAATTAAACTGTTAATCTTGTAACAATATTGAGCTAGGTTTTATTATTATTATTATTATTATTATTATTATTATTATTATTCCTGAAATGTTAAGCTTCATGACTTACATGTAGGTAAGCCTTCCATGGTATTGAAACTGAATGTCCACCTACAATTCAATAAGCACTTATGTCTCTTTGAAGATTGTTTATTCTAACATCAGAATACATTAGTTCATACCATTTGGTCAGTGGTGAGTATGTAATACTCTTTAATTTTTGACCCGTGAAGATCCGGGGTAGAATAGATCTTCAGCAACCGATACTAGCCGTAAAAGGCCACTATGCTTGTCGTAAGAGGCGACTAACGGGATCGGGTGGTCAGGCTCGCTGACTTGGTTGATGCATGTCATCGATCCCAATTGCGTGGATCGATTTTCATGATATCAATCACTGGATTGTCTGGTCAAGACTCGATTATTTACAGACCGCCATCATATAGCTGGAATATTGCTGAGTGGGGCGTTAAACAACAAACAACCACCTTTAATTTTGAGCATTGTTTGGGATTAACTGCAGTTATGTGTAGCATCCATCGTCCTCATGTTTTAATGCTAATCCCGGAGATCTATCCAGGAAATACTGATGTCACCTTGTCCCTGGTACATGTCTGATGAGGTATATTACAGTTTACATATATTATACCAACGATTAACACCTTTATGTGAAAGCTTGTTGGTGGTCCCTTCACAAATACAAGTCTGTGGCAAGACTAAGATTACATACAGGAAGGAAACTGTGTGATAGAGCTTCATTCTCTATCCTGCTTTTGGGAGGACAGTTCAAAATGTCTGTATGCTACTCAAATTTGAGTAAAGTTATTCCTTTATGCACAGCCACAATTATGTTATATAATTTATACCCAATTAAACACGGCCCTTTGGAGTTGTGGCTCAGAATTGGTTTTCATTACCTTATGATTGTCACAAGGGTATCGGAGGATCGGAGGATCGGGTGGTCACAATGGCCATCCTGATGCCTTGTGTTGACAGTGTGGGTCATTGATCATGCCACTGGTTTGGACAGGTCCCTACAACTTGATTGCTGGCTGTAAACCTCAGGACCCAGTGGTCAGGCTGTGTGGCCTGGCTGATTGTGTTAGTCCTTCAGATATGTTGCTGACTGTCAAATGAGTTGTTTTGTAACCCATTCTGTATTAACATGATTAAGGAAGCAGTTCAAAAGTTCGATGTCAGATAAAAAACTTCATTTTGAGACATACCCCCACCCACCTCTTCCCCACCCTGTGTGTCTGTGTATAATATATACCCATATTTTTTACCCAAATTTGCCTTTTAGGGGCACTTTTAGATTCCTTGATAAATCCCTGCTCTCCTTCCTGACCCCCCTCTCCCCACCCCCTTCCTGACCCCACTCTCCCCACCCCCTTCCCTACGATAAACATATCCTGTTGACAGTCTTTGTCTGAGAGTCTGGGTCATGAAGCTCTAGTGATGTAGTTATCAATGACATTGAGTCACCATACATAATTGTCAAGGGAGCAATTAGGCTGTACATGCATGTATGGTCATAGCTGTGTCGGTGGTGAATATTGTACTGCTAATAACTCATATCATTACTGCAGTGATTATGAGAAAGTTCAGGTGACGGTTCCATGTGCCTAATATCTGCAGGGCATTGTTCAACGCTATATTTTAGAACTTATTTTAGCACTTGTTTAATTAAGCCTTTTAAGGAAACATGTTTTCAGCAACATTGTCCTTTTTTATCAGCATATTGCACAACACTTTTGAATAAAGAGGAGCATTTAACTTCCTTAGGCTAAACAAACTGGACAGGTATTAACTGACGCATGCATCACAGCTCTGAAATTGTGAATGTTATCAGTGTCAGGAACCCGAGTAGTAACATTCCTAATCACAATGCATTCACAATGACTCAAGTCATGACTAAACGCTTGATCAGGATGTACCTTCAACAGGAAGTATAGTGGAGACTAAGAAGGGCTTAAGTTTTCTTTTCATATAGTTTTTATATAGAACACACAAGAATTAGTGTCCTTCTCACAATGCAAACTTATTTCTGTTTTGTAGGGTTACTAAGTTGTGACAATCCTGACTTCTAGTGTACTTTTTAGAAAAAGGCATTATTATTATTGCTGGAATCATGTGAAGAGCAGTACTGTGTACATCGACATTCACTCAGTGTCAATACAAAATTTGGTGGTTTTGTTTTACAAAACTAAAATAGCACCCCGTTTCCAGGCGTTACTAAACAAAAGTAATAAATATATCATTACTGTAGAAAAACATTATTCATCAAACCATCATGATCAGGCAAACAAAATAATGGAAATGAGAGACAAAAACAATGTGCAACACTGGTTTATTTGTAAGACATCAATTTGTTGAGCAGTTGTCCCTTGGATGTGTCATGATCCTATGATTGTGTTTTCGAATCCTAGAGTCGCCCTGATTCTGATTCTTGGTTTGTCAGCGCCATACCCATGCTCATGGGTTAAAGTGGTAAATGTAAGACCTGCATCAGGTTGGGCTTTCCTCCTACATTAGCAGTCATGCCATGATATAACTGGAATACTGTTACCCAACTAACATACACTGTATGATAGTTTTCTTTGGAAGATGACTAGAACTCTACAGATGACAAGTACACTACAGATCACGAGTGCTCTACATGTCACGAGTACACTACAGATGACGAGTACGCTACAGATGACAAGTACACTACAGATGACGAGTACACTACAGATGACGAGTACACTACAGATGACAAGTACACTACAGATGAGGAGTACACTACAGATCATGAGTGCCCTACAAGTCACAAGTACGCTACAGATGACGAGTACACTACAGATGACGAGTACGCTACAGATCACGAGTGCCCTACACGTCGCAAGTACACTACAGATGACGAGTACGCTACAGATGACGAGTACACTACAGATGACGAGTACGCTACAGATAAGTACACTACAGATCACGAGTGCTCTACAGATGACAAGTACACTACAGATCACGAGTACGCTACAGATGACAAGTACACTACAGATGACGAGTACACTACAGATAACAAGTACACTACAGATGACCAGTACACTACAGATGACGAGTACACTACAGATTACAAGTACTCTACAGATGACAAGTACACTACAGATCACGAGTGCCCTACACGTCACGAGTACACTACAGATGAGGAGTACGCTACAGATGACGAGTACACTACAGATCACGAGTGCTCTACATGTCACGAGTACACTACAGATGAGGAGTAAGCTACAGATGACGAGTACACTACAGATGACGAGTACGCTACAGATGACGAGTACGCTACAGATGACAAGTACACTACAGATGACAAGTACACTACAGATGAGGAGTACGCTACAGATGACAAGTACACTACAGATTACGAGTACGCTACAGATGACGAGTATGCTACAGATGACAAGTACACTACAGATGACAAGTACACTACAGATGACAAGTACACTACAGATCACGAGTGCCCTACACGTCACAAGTACACTACAGATGACAAGTACACTACAGATCAAGAGTGCTCTACATGTCACGAGTACACTACAGATGAGGAGTACGCTACAGATGACGAGTACACTACAGATGAGGAGTACGCTACAGATGACGAGTACGCTACAGATGACAAGTACACTACAGATGACAAGTACACTACAGATGACAAGTACACTACAGATCACGAGTGCCCTACACGTCACAAGTACACTACAGATGAGTACGCTACAGATGACAAGTCGATACAGATGACGAGTACACTACAGATGACGAGTACGCTACAGATGACGAGTACGCCACAGATGACAAGTACACTACAGATCACAAGTGCCCTACACGTCACAAGTACACTACAGATGAGGAGTATGCTACAGATGACGCGTACGCTACTGATGACGAGTACGCTACAGATGACGAGTACGCTACAGATGACGAGTACGCTACAGATGACAAGTACACTACAGATCACGAGTGCCCTACACGTCACAAGTACACTACAGATGACGAGTATGCTACAGATGACAAGTACACTACAGATGACGAGTACACTACAGATGACGAGTACACTACAGATGACGAGTACTCTACAGGTGATGAGTACACTACAGATGGCGAGTACACTACAGATGGCGAGTACGCTACAGATGGCGAGTATGCTACAGATGGCGAGTACACTACAGATGACGAGTACACTACAGATGACGAGTACTCTACAGGTGATGAGTACACTACAGATGGCGAGTACACTACAGATGGCGAGTACACTACAGATGACAAGTACACTACAGATCACAAATAGACTACAGATGGCGAGTACACTACAGATGAAGAGTACACTACAGATGACGAGTACACTACAGATGACGAGTACACTACAGATGACGAGTACACTACAGATGGCGAGTACACTACAGATGACGAGTACTCTACAGGTGACGAGTACACTACAGATGGCGAGTACACTACAGATGACGAGTACACTACAGATGACGAGTTCACTACAGATGGCAAGTACACTACAGATGACGAGTACACTACAGATGACGAGAACTCTACTGATGAAGAGTACACTACTGATGACGAGTGCCCTACAGATGACAAGTACACTACAGATGACGAGTGCACTACAGATGACGAGTACACTCCAGATGACGAGAACTCTACTGATGACAAGTAAACTACAGATGAATAGTACACTACAGATGACGAGTACACTACAGATGACGAGTGCCCTACAGATGACGAGTACACTACAGATGACGAGAACTCTGATGACGAGTACACTACAGATGAATAGTAAACTACAGATGACAAGTACACTACAGATGACGAGTGCCCTACAGATGACGAGTGCCCTACAGATGACGAGTACACTACAGATGTTGAGAACTCTGATGACGAGTACACTACTATGACGAGTACACTGCAGATGGCGAGTACACTACAGATGACGAGTACACTACAGATGACGAGTGCCCTACAGATGACAAGTACACTACAGATGACGAGTGTGCACTATAGATGACACATATACTGAAGATGACGGGTGTGCACTAAAAATGACAGGTACACTACCGATGTGAGAAGAACATTCTACACCAGACCTCCTCTGCTAAATGGCATGATAATGTGACCCAGAAAGGCAGGCCAAGTTTATCTGAAGCTGGCAGATTAGGGTTACAGAGTTTCCAGTGTTTATAGTACTTGACAAACATTGATAGACTCTGGTAGAAGCGCTGCTGCTGTAGTTTCCTGAACATGCAGAAGGAACTCTTCAAGGAAGGAAAGAGTACTTAGTTCTACTGGGGCATTCAGTGTGAGCAAGATAGATATAGTCCTCAGTACAACAGAGTAATGTAAACTGAAGTCCTGTCTGTTGTCTATAGTGGGTTAGGATGGGTACAGAAGACATTTGTATATTGCAAAGAATGCTTGTTTGGAAGCTGATTAGTGTTTTTTTTATGTTTTCTGGCAATGTTTTAGCTATATGGTGCAGGTGTGTGTTCAGTTAAGGGGTCTGGAGCAGGAGCAGTTTCCGGGTTTTTCATCCTATGCGCATAGAAATTGAGATTGGCTTCAATAATCGTAATTGTTTGTCCCTTGGGATGCAGAAAAATATGCCCATTTTTATCATGAAAACCAAATTTGTTGTAGCCATAACAACATTAACATAGATGTTACTCTCGATTTTCTTCACCCAATCACTAAGTTTTGTTTGAACAAAGAAAGTCCTCCTTAAGGCTTCGCATATTTGTAGTTAACAGTTGTCTCCCCTTGGGAATCCCAAAAAGGGCGACTGAGTGTCCAGGAATTACATATAGGAAGGCCTAGACTAATTAGTTGGATGATGTTTCTAGCATCATGTTGGGTACAATCCTTCACCAGCACAGCCAGACTGGAGTGACCTTCATGCACTGTTATTGGGCTTTTTAGTAGCTTCCAGTTTTGAGATTTGATTAACATTTTTCACCTTAGGTCAGTCAGCCATTACCTCCACAGTGATTCTTTGGCAATATAGCTGAACGAGTGCTTTTGGAAGAGCTGACTAGAATGTGTATCTGTTGGTCACAATGGCTGGTGATGAACAACATCCATTAGCATTGATGATCTGGGTGATGGTGAGTCATGAACACTATAGACTACTAGTAGTGTTGATCATTAATCACACTGTTTCATCAGAGGCAGTGGAATTTGTGTGCCATGACCCTTGAAGGCAAGTTTTTAGGGAAAAGCTTTTAAGTTTTTAAATTGCGGAGGTATTTAAACAAAATATTCTCAACATTCCGTTATGTAAACCTAAGTATTCAAGCCTCCTCATCACTGTCATGTCTCTTGGCCCCCATTATCAATGTAGAACAAGGCTGTTACATAAGATCAATTATATTAACATAAATTAGGAATGTCTTAACGGTAATTCCCCAGATGACATTTTACAGTTGCTTCAGACTTGGAGCTGAATAAATCCCTCTTACAGAAGGGTGTGATTGATTGTGACTTCAAATCCTGATTTTCTAGGTTTGTCAGCACCAAACCCGTGCTCGGGGAGGGGGTGTCACAAAGTGATATATGTCTGAGACACGCATCACTTCGGGCCTTCCTCCCACATTAAGCTGACATGGCGTGGTAGAACTGGAATACTGGTAAAAGCGGTGTTAAAACCCAAATCACATACCATATTTTCTTTAGTATAGTGCGCCAGAAACCTATAGATCGTGGGTTCGAACCGTGGTTCGCCACGATTATGTTTCTAGGTTTGTCAGCACCATATCCGTGCTCGTGGGTTTCACCGAAGTGGTAAACGTCTAAGACCTGCATCACTTCAGGCTTTCCTCCCACATTAGGCTGACATGCTGCGATATAACTGGAATACTGTTAAAAGCGGCCTTAAACCCAACTTACTCACTTTAGTATAGTGCACACTTTTTTCCAAAAAAACACAGCTGTGTGGGTGTGTGCATTATACACACCATAATGAGTTTTCATTTTTCCGTTGCTCGTGAGCACGTCACACCGGAAATACCATGTCTACAAATCTGTATTGGAGTATGCAATGTAATCTTGTAATTACACTGTCTGGTTATAAAAAGTGTTCATTGTATACTCAACAACAAAAGTTCCTGTGACACCAATATTTTAGTGTATTTTTCAAACAAGTAAAGTTTGGTTTCCAATATTGTAGTACGTGTATGGAATCAAGTCACAAAAACGCAACTGCTACAGAAAAGCATGCATTCCATCCAAAAGTTGACTTTTATGCAAGCCCCATGCATTTCACTACCCAAGAATGGGTATAAAAACATGTGCATTAACGGGATTCCATATGCATTGTTTATCATCGTGTTGACAACAACCACTCAGAAAAACAACAAAGTTACGCAATTATTCAACATTACGAAATGCCACGCCTGTCCGAAAATGAGCGTCTGCGATCCATTGGTATGCTTGAAGCAGGATCGAGTAAACGTGATGTTGTAAGACAATTTGATGTCCACAGAAACACCATTTGGTGTTTATGGCAACCCACCAGACTTTGTGCGACGCCTGGTCCATTTTGTCGTGTTCATGTTTTTTATGAAATCACACATTTTCTGAAGTCAGATTGGCAAATTAAACCATTTTAACACTTACAGGAGTCTTTTATCTGTTGCAAACCGAAATTGTTTCAGATTAGGTAAAAAACATAACTTTGCATTAAATCTTATTCAATGTCAAAGGAACTTTTGTTGTTCAATATATATATGGACTAATGTTTGTAACCTATTTCATTCATTTTATTAAAGATTCCTTTTAATATTATTTAAATCAATTTCAATGAAATCGTGTGAAAAGAGATCGGAAGATCGCACGACTCGCCGTTATTTACAGCAACCACGGTCAGATTACTGCTATTGACGCCTTGAAACAAACTTTAGTTGACAGAGAATGCTATAAATAACACATAGGTCAACAAATATGAGAATTTGCAGAATTATCCCAGTGAATTTGCAAATCCCAACACAGAAATATTTTGAACTTGACTTGACTTGAAATGCATTGGCTTCTTGCCGAGCGGTTTGTCCAACTTGTAATCGTCCAAGGGTTGGTCCTCTGATCTTTTGTCAATCTTTGGCATGTGGTAGTAATTCAATAACAAATTAATGTTATCCAATCTGGGTGGATTTTTATTAGGGAAGAAATGGGGTAACACAAGTGGATTTCAATTTGCACAGAACTCATGTACATTGGGTTACCATGGCCGTGCCGTGATACGTTTGGGTGATCGCTTTTATTGTCATCTGCTTTGGTTTTTTTATCATCATACTCATTTTTCCGGACAAGGTAATTTTAAATTTTAGAAACTTTAACAAAATTACCCAGATATTTAAATGACAACTTTTCATGCAATGTTACTTGGGGCGATGTTTCTTTTGCAGTTCAGTATATTTGCATCTGACCTAGGTACTCCAGAGATGTTTTGTTGAGACTAGCAGCAGTTATGTGATTGGCGATGTGATTATGTAATGCTTAGGCATGGAATATATCAGGCTGTTTGCGCTGCAGTCTGACGTCAGAATAAAGTGTTTATTGTGCTTAGAGTAAGCATATTCTCAGCTGGAAAACAGAATGTTGTAATTCACTGCATATCTATAAAACAGTTAAAAAATGACAATTTTGACACCAGTATAACAAACGCTGACTGTAGGCGTTAACAGATGTTTGAGTGGAGATATTGATGCACTTTGTACTAGTTGGCCTTGGACAGCAGGGAATTTCAGGTTGCTGGTGTTGCGCAAGTATTACTCATCAAGATTGCGACGTCTATACTGGTAAGTTAGGAGTTGGAAGGTTTTGACTTTGAGCTTGGGATGTTAATGAAGTAGAGTCTGCTGTATTGTGATGACAGGAGGAACATGTACATATAGCTATCATTTGGGATATTTTAGAAATATTCTCACTTTCAGGGTTTGATATGGCTTCTTTGCAGCCAGCAGAAAGAGCAGAGATCAACAATAGTGTGGTTGAAATAGCTGCCTGACTATTATCTCATTAGGCCAAACCTTTTTAATTTTATGTTTAACAGATATATTCCAGCTTTTCCACGCAAAGTCGATTGAAATAAAAATATTAATAAATAGCTATCTCAATCATCTATTTGATGTAGCCATGGAATTTATATATAACATTTTATATTGTATAAGAGAGTCAAAATTACTAGTGGGAGACATAATAAGAATAAATATTGTAATTTATTTCTTTTCAAGCTGCTTTTCAGTCAGAGCGGCGGCCCGTAAAACAAAAAATATATAATGTGTGGCCTTCGTCATGTGATATCCAGGTCCATCATTATATGATCATCAGTTGTATGAAGTTTGTTTGGTAGGGAGTTTTTTTGTTTGGTTTTCCCACAGTTTGAAAAACATAGTATGCATTTAATGTGCCGTTGTTGTAAATGAATAACACAGTACACTGTGTTTTTGGTCACTTCTTTTCTAACAACTACTGGTAGTATGACAAACAATAATATTAAGTACAGGCCAGGCAATTTTTAACCAGTCCCAATTTCAAAACACTAGTCGCTGAAAAGAAAACATCCATCTGCCTTAAGACTGATCTCTTCACTTACAACCTGTGCTTTTGTAACTACAGAAAGAGAGCACCTGTTTATCCATCCCCATTGTTTGTCACATCGCCTCAAATCAGTTGGTTCTCTGCCAACCGGAGAGAATAATAGCTGATGATAGTCCCAGACACTGAATGTCTGACATTCCTGGTCCTAATTATATTTGACCAGGCAGTAAACAGTAATTACTGATAACCCGAAAACACTGATTCAGTGTTCCATGGTGGGAGTGAGGCCTGCTGCTGTATCTACTGGCCTGACAGGCTTGTCCTCACATGATGGAGATATCCTGAGTACCCTGCTGCTCCATGTGAGTTGGAGACATTGTGTCCGGGTTGGGGTACAGAGAGGCTGGATGTGATGTAAATAGCTTATTGATCACCTTATGCAACAGCTGAACAAACAGAGCCAGGAAATAAATCAATTTGTTTACATTATTGATATGATCTCTTGGCTCTGGTATGTTGTTTGTGTTGGGTCTGTTTTCGAATTCTACAGGACTTAGGGGACAGACCATATTCTGAAGGGGTGGTGGTGGGTGCTGGCATTTTGTATCGAGATTAGATATTAATCAGCTACAGCTACAAAACCAGATATTCTTTTTTTTTAAACTATCAGCCAGAATTTTTATTGACAAATATTTCCCTGCAATAATGTAATTTTGTGGCAGGAAATTTCTTTTCCAAAAGTCTTGACACATAATTTTTTTTTTGTTCTTTGTTTTTTTTATATAAAATCCCCACTCCCTGCTGTGCTGATACTGTTTGTCAATGCATTTTCAGTGGGCGATCGATATCAGACCAGGTGGTTGCAATTAAAGAATATAAGTTACGACCCTTAGTGCTCATCTGCTCGGTTAGATCTCCTGTTACAATGTCTTCCAAACAGGGTGAAAATTTACTGACTTGGTTGATGCATGTCATCGTATCCCAATGTAAATCACTGGATTGTCTGGTCCAGACTGGATTATTTACAGACCACCATCACATAGCTGGAATATTGCTGAGTGTGGCATCAAACAACAAACCAGCGAACAAAACAAACAAACACCAACTTTATGAATAACAACTTCTGGTTTATTGCATTGACACATATTTATGTTCTCAATGTTACAGACCGCCTCCGTGGTCTAGTGGTAGAGCGGAAGGTCCGGGGTTCGATCCCCGGCCGCGTCATACCAAAAGACGTTAAAAGATGGTACTTGTTGTTACCCTGTATGGCGCTCCGCATTAAGGGGCAAAAACAAGGACTGGTCGGCTCGGAGTCAGTATACTGTGTCTGAGTGGGGTATTCATGTTAAACTGCGGCATGGTATCTCAGTGAGCTAGGACTATAAATCGGCATCAGTCCGGACTAGTACAAGCAGCCACGCACACACGTGCATGCACGTCGCTATATGAGTGCAATAATCTTGGACGCGACGTTAAACCCCATTTCACCTTCACCCACCATCTCAATGTTACGTGACATTTTCAGCTTAGAGAAGACAGTGAAGATGTCCCTCTTGTTCAGCTCTTGCCTAGCCTCCAGTACATTCTGCTTTTGGGTGGTAGACATTCACCGGCACCATATGGGATGAGGCATGCCCAACTTGTTCTCTGTTCCACTATCAGGAATTGTGTTAATTGAAATGATTTTGGTGCAACTTTCCGATTAACGTCTTCATCCTCCTCTGCCACAAGATGGTTGTTGTTGTTGATGTTGTTTATGTTGTTTACTCCTGTATGGATTCTCGGTTAGAATAGGTCTTCAGCAACCGATGCTTGTCATACGAGATGATTCAGTGGATCAGGTGGTCAGACTCGATGACTTGATTGCATGTCATTGTACCTCTCTTGTATGGGATGTTGTTTATAATATCAATCACTGGTTTGTCTGGCTCAGCCTTGATTGGTCACTAGCAGCTTCATACAGCTGGAACATTGCTGTGTGCAGCATTGATAACAAATAAACAAGCAGACAAACAATATTTTTAGGAGCAGTCTGTTTATGAATAAGTTCTATATGTACTGAACCGCAAAAGAAATGTCACTTCATGAAAATACTTCATTAAAGTTTCCCAATGAAATGCACTTTTTGGAAGAATCTCTATTTTGACATTAGTCTTCATACGTCTTGGCATGGCGCTAGTATAGATACAAGAATGTTGGATCCATGTATTGGGGTGCCGTTTATCAAGTGCAGTTTGATTTTCATGGAAAGTGATCAGGACTTTGTACCATGGTCGTTTGTTAGGCTGCATTTTGGCCGCCTATATATCCATATTTTTGGCACTTTTTGGCCGTTTACCTTTAATATTGATAAAAAAAAATGCATTGAAAGGGAAACTTTTATGAAGTTTGTTCATGAGTTCACTTTTTTACCCTTATTTTGGCTCTAAAGGGTTTAAAAGGGCCCACATTAAGATTACTAATACAGCCTTAGAAATTCACTTTCTAGTCCAAAGACAAGTTTAAACCTAATATCGGTTAGAGTTTGTAGCTAGTCAGTCCTGCTTGAACATTTTGAACAAGACAGAAATGTTTACTATGTGTACATTTTCTGTCAGTTTTATTCAGTTTGTAGCAACATTGAAGCATGAAAACTAGTTCAGAATTACAGCCCTCAAATGCTACAAGTCAATTAGGATTATAATCATTGGATTCTTACTTGTCTTCAGCACATAGTAGTAGGTAGTCTGAGGCTAATGAACCAGTGCGGCGTTAGACATTGGCACTAGTCCTGTAATAGTGAAGGTATCACAAGGACCAGTAGATATTTGCCATTTTTTAGGGGTTTGCTATATGTTGTCATTATAAGGACTAGTGGACTAGAAAGGTTAGTTTCTACCGCTACAGTGTGAATTGTGACTGGTGCCAGTAGGCCATGGATGCCCCCTGGGTGTTACTGCCAGTTGTAGAATGTCACTTCATTCTGTCAACAACAAGAGTGATGGTCTTGAGTGACAGTGGCATTGCATCTTTGATTCAGCAGGCCTTTCATCTTTTAATCAGTATTGGCATGGCTATGTATTCAGTCCTATGTTTGATGTATTGTTATTATTATCTTTCGTTGTTTTCTTTGCAGCCGCTAAAGAATCACAATGTCTGGTAAGTCATGCAACAAATTACATACAACTCAATTCAGTTCTGCTCTGTCCAACCCATCCCAAAAATTTCCATTACCCCCACACATCTCTTCCTCCAACTAAGCTTTGCTTCCCCCCATCCCCACTCCAATTACAACTTAGATGTGGTCTTTGTAAAAACAAAGTGACAGAAGTATCAACAAGTGGATGATACAAGCAAAGATAAGGCCTCCTGGTGACAGGTTTATGACCACTAGCAGATATCTTCAGATCACTCATGGTGAGTGGTTCTGGGACCATTGTTGCCTGGACTGAACTGATGATTCTGAAATGACTAAAATGAAAACATGTTACATCACTGTTAAATGGTTAGTTTTGTCATGTTGTAAGAAAGATATGGTTTAATACATATATCATATATGTATATATACATATACATATATTGTACATATATCAATTTTATGTTGAAGGAATGCGGTAAGTGATTCAATCTCATTAAGATCCGTTCTTTTACTCAGTTTAAGTGACACCCTCTCCACATGAACATCATCAGGGGCGGTGGGGTAGCCTGGTGCTTAAAGTGTTCGCTCATCACACCGAAGGCCCGGGTTCAATTCAATGGGTACAATGTGTGAAGCCCATTTCTGGTGTCCCCCACCGTGATATTGCTGGAACATTGCTAAAAGCGGTGTAAAACCATACTCACTCACTCACTGCATGAACATCTGAGGACTAAGTTAAAGGTTAGATAGGGCCATCCATTCCTCTATTACCTCATTACGATGAAGTACAATTTCATCATTTCTTATGGGTTTTTTTTATAACTAAACGTATACAGTTTCAATATCAATATTTGTGTTGGAATAGTTTGGTTCCTTGTGAACAAAACACCACGAAAATATATCATCCTCACCCACAGCTAATTCTCACCAAGTGACGTGAGTTACAATAAACAATTGCTAAGCATAGCCGAGTTATGCCCCCATTTCTTTGTACGTGTGTAACCTCTCTGTCGCCTTTTGACGTCATAGAGAAAAATCAGTTTCGTCATTTACGGCATGCTATTTTTGGCATTGAATGTATGTTGTTATACATACGCATATAACTCCATTTGATATGTAGTTATGTCGTTCAGATATAAGTCTGTATTTTGTTCGCTCACAGTTTCCATAAAGCTTCTAAATAACAAAAATCGTCGCACAGTATTTTTGTCGGTGTACAATAAAAAGCGGAGAAATTTCCTGTTTTTCAACGCAGAATAAATTCTCGGACAACACTTAGAAGTGTCTTTTTTAAACACCGGTTTAATATTTGCAGTTAAATTTACACCACCAGATAGGAAATTTAATATTCTCCATCTCTGCGTACTTTTATAGCCAGAGGTAGATCCAGTGCCGCGTGAGCGCAATTCTCGCACAACCTTCACTTTTCCGATCTTAGGAAGATGTGTCAGAAAAAAACTCGGCACCCAGAGGGTTAACCTCCCAATTAGAAATATGCCGGTGGCTAAAGTCGGCTAAAGTCAGAGATTTTGGCCAGGCTCTGTGACTCTCATGATGGTGTGTCATTATGCACAGATGACATGGAGCATTGATTGTTGTCAGATTCTGGTTGCTTACATTAGGGTTTATTATTAAAGGCTGCCCTGATATGGCTTGTGTATAAAACAACATTCACTCTCTCACTCACTGAATATCTGCTTGGTCAGGTCTGATCAAGGCAAAGAAGTATGACTGGAAGGACTCCAACTTGGCTCTGTTTGGATCCGACCTGGAGAAGAATGTCAAGAGTAAGTAGAGCTGCAGAGAAACAAGGTGCCCATGGTTCTTAGGAGAAACACAGGAATTTACCTGGGTCCATTTAGTTTTCCCCTGGTTTGAAAACCTGGAGTGATATAGCGATCAGCATGTCTGTCAGTCCATTTTCCATTTCTGGAGCAGAACTCCTAAATCGTTGAATATTTCTTGTTGAAACTTGCTATGCAGATCAGTCTAGTGGTGACCTTGTGCCTTTTGATGATTTGCCATGTATTATATATATCTATATATTCGTTGAATAGTTCTTGATGCAACTTGCTATACAGATCAGTCTATTGATGAACTGGTGCCTTTTGATGGTTTGGGATTTATTTTGTAATTTTGTTTATGGTTTCATGACGACAAGTTGACAGGGGTTGAAAAATACCATTGCCCAAACGCCCGTGCCAAGGAAGGTTTAGATGTCGGGCGAGTAATACACGTTTTCTAGCATGTCCAAGGATAAGTAGAGAATGCAAAATGAACTGGGTCAAGTTTCATGAGAATGTAATCAACCTTTGTCTTGATATGGTTTATCTGCTTTCCAGAGGAATCTGCAGAGACTGAGAAAGCATGGCAAGGGTGTGGCAAGTCTGTAGGCCTCAAGATCTGGAGGATCGTGGTAGGTTGTGACAGCACAGTTAATCTAGTGACATAAATAGAACAAGGTCCATGATTTTCCTTACTGTATAGAAATGATATGAAATATGTATCAGGGAGAGAAATGTATTTTGTCAAAGTGTGTCACACCAAACTCATGACAATGTTTAGATGTATCATTTGGAATTTAGCAGGAGACGTAGTAACAGGCAGTAAAAAGCTATTATTGTATTCGCCCAAACAGTCACTCGCCCATTTATAATACGAAGATATTCTAGCTTCCACCTCCTGATGGAAAACATTAGCTTCTTGGGTTGATGCTGATCCTCCTTTTATATCTGTCTGGAGGATTGGTTGATGTAGATACTGTATGGACGTACAGCACTAGAACCCTTCAATGATGGGGCCGAATAGCCAGATTCATTCTGTGAAATATGAGACTCTGGTGTCTGGCTGGTGTGTGAGTGAAGTGCTGGCTGGCCAGAGCAATGTGACCTTGTGTTTATCTGGGCAGCCAACTCTCTACCATTTCGCCATGCTATCAGACATAGTGGCCTGGGTAGAAGTTATTGATCACATAAGCCTGCATGAATTGAATTGATGGCATCTCGTCACAAATAGTCTTGATTGTGGTAAGATTTTCCAGGTTTTGAACTACACTGAAGTTACCGGTATTTGAGTATTTGTCACATTTTCAAATGGCAAACAATCCTGATTTTACATGTGTAGTGTACTCTTGCAGAAATTTCAAGTAAAGAGCTGGCCTGAGGCTGACTATGGCAAGTTCTATGATGGAGACTCTTACATTATCTTGAACGTGAGTTCTATACTTTGTTAAATCCTGCATTACTTTGAACTTCAACATAGGTTTTATTACTTGTCATAGCAGAAGAAATAAACCCAGAATGTTCCTTTCTCTGTGGAAGCAACCTTTTCATCATGTTATGTTATAGTTTTGATGAAACATGTATTTTAAAAGTTGCAATTTGAATGTATTTTGCCCTTTTCTCAGAATATTAGACCTGTTTTGAAAACCAAAATATTCCACAAGGATAAGTGATAATTTAGACATTACTTTCATTTCTGAAACTGAATCACAGATTTTTGTGTTTTAATTATGTTAAACAGAGAAAAACTGACCAGGCAATCTTAATTAATTAATTAAAACCCTGTTCTTTTCTTAACATTTGACAAGAATGCTTGTTTGTAGTCTTGGGCCACAGTCAGTTATATCCCTGTTATGTCCAGGCAGCCTGTAAATACCTGAGTCTTATAGCACAGTGATTGATGTTGTGAGCAACGTCCCAATGGGGGCTATTGTTTTGCCTTTTTGGATCATTGCTCATGCTATCAACCAGTGGTTTGTCTGACCCTGACCTTGTTCTTCACTAGTGGTCATGATATTTTTAACTGAAGTAAACAACAACAAAATCGATCAAAGAGAACATTCTTTCTAAATTTTGTTTTTGATGTTTTCTAACTGTGTCGTATGTGTTTATAATGGTAAAATAAAGAATTACACAGTGACTATATTAAAAGGGTATAATTCAAATCCATAATATTTAAATCAGGAATTACAAAGCAGACAAGAAATATGTGTAGCACTAAGGGAGATAACTCTTTCCCCACAGACATACAAGGAGGACGACTCAGAGGAGCTGCAGTTTGATGTCCACTTCTGGATTGGCCGACACAGCACTCAGGTACAGATGTCTCCAACACTGGCTGCTTAAAAAAAGTCAGTCATAAGGCTAAAAAAAATATAATAGTGTTGGTTCTCAGGCATCATCATAAAGTTCATTGCACGTTTCGCTTTTGTTTCCATTTTAAAATTATTTCGTGCATTGTGTTTAAGTTTAGGATTTTTATATTTTTTTGTAAATGGAAATAAAAACAAAACATGCGGCAGACTTCATGATGATGCTGGTGGTGCCTGAGAACCAAGACTTTTATTTTTTTTAGCCTAAACCTTCAGTATGTACTGTTGCAATAGGTACACAAACATTCAGGTGAACAACAGATCTTTGTTAATCCACTTCTTCATTTTACGAGCTTATGTAAATACTGTGGGCACCAAATAAGAAACGTTTATGCTCAACAGGATGAGTACGGTACCGCCGCCTACAAGACGGTTGAGTTGGACACATTCCTGAACGATGCCCCGATCCAGCACAGGGAGGTTCAGGGTCATGAGTCAAGTCTGTTCAAGAGCTACTTCAAGACCATCACGTGAGTATACCACTGCAATTTGCCAAATAAGATACTTATATGTGTTGTTGTAATACGTTAATACTGCACTATCTACATTACCCCCAATTTTGCTTTAAAATGCTCACCTCTCTGTACCAGCCCCCAGCATTTGAGTGATGTCATGCATTAAGTGATGCCATGCACTGAGTGATGTTATGCATTGAGTGATGTCATGCACTGAGTTGTGTCGTGCATTGAGTGATGTTGTGCACTGAGTGTTGTCCTGCATTGAGTGTTTTCATGCACTGAGTGATGTCGTGCACTGAGTGATGTCGTGCACTGAGTGATGTCGTGCACGGAGTGGTACAGGCATTGAGTGGTACAGGCATTGAGTGGTACAGGCATTGAGCGGTACAGGCATTGAGCGGTACAGGCATTGTACGGTACAAGCATTGAGTGGTACAGGCATTGAGTGGTACAGGCATTGAGTGGTACAGGCATTGAGTGGTACAGGCATTGAGTGGTACAGGCATTGAACGGTACAAGCATTGAGTGGTACAAGCATTGAGTGGTACAGGCATTGAGTGGTACAGGCATTGAACGGTACAAGCATTGAGTGGTACATGTGCTGAGTGATACAAGCTTTGAGTGATGCCACTTGTTAAGTGATGTCGTGCATTTAGTGATGTCGTGCATCAATATGAACATGGTTTAATACCACACTGGATGGCAATGACATGGCTAGGAGCACATAGCACCCTAATGTAAATCTGGCATGAGGGAGGCTACTCTTTTAAGCAGAGCTTTAGAAGTCCTATCTGTCCAACTAATCGTGATTCTCCATCATTGTCAGTGTGATGCGAGGTGGTGCGGAGACAGGGTTCCGCCAGGTCAAGCCGGAGGAATACACACCACGTCTCCTCCATTTCTCTGGCACCAGGCGCAATGTGGAGGTCAGGGAGGTAAGTGGGACAGTATTTACCAGACAAGGTTGTAACCTGGCAAATTTGGTAAGGGAGATAACACTGTCCACTTTCCAGGATAGTAAACTGCTGGATGATAAATGTTCATTATATAGCTGACAGATTCCTTATCTCTGATGAGAACAATATATGCTGAAGTAGAAATAGTGTAATGGCTGGTGTTTATGATGTTATTGACAATTATTTAAAAAAACCAACCTTTGCCTGCTCCATATTACTGAGTCGTACTTCTGTATGTGGCAACAGGTGATTTTTAATTGTTTTTACGTTTTGTTATGCCATCTCACGCAGGTTCCACTGTGCAAGTCAAAGGTGAATTCTGATGACGTGTTCATCCTTGACCTTGGTCTTAAGATCTTCCAATTCAATGGCAGCAACAGCAGCAAGGATGAAAGATTTAAGGTAACACACAGTGTGTGACATCATTACAAGGACATCTCTTGGTATGACATTACAATTAATGTATTGTGTGACATCGTTACAAGGACATCTCTTGGTATGACATTACAATTAATGTATTGTGTGACGTCGTTACAGGGACATCTCTTGGTATGACATTACAATTAATGTATTGTGTGATGTCGTTACAGGGACATCTCTTGGTATGACATTACAATTAATGTATTGTGTGACATCATTACAAGGACATCTCTTGGTATGACATTACAATTAATGTATTGTGTGACATCATTACAAGGACATCTCTTGGTATGACATTACAATTAATGTATTGTGTGACATCATTACAAGGACATCTCTTTGTATGACATTACAATTAATGTATTGTGTGACATCATTACAAGGACATCTCTTGGTATGACATTACAATTAATGTATTGTGTGACATCGTTACAAGGACATCTCTTGGTATGACATTACAATTAATGTATTGTGTGATGTCGTTACAGGGACATCTCTTGGTATGACATTACAATTAATGTATTGTGTGATGTCGTTACAGGGACATCTCTTGGTATGACATTACAATTAATGTATTGTTTGATGTCGTTTCAGGGACATCTCTTGGTATGACATTACAATTAATGTAATGTGTGATGTCGTTACAGGGACATCTCTTGGTATGACATTACAATTAATGTATTGTGTGATGTCGTTACAGGGACATCTCTTGGTATGACATTACAATTAATGTATTGTGTGACATCATTACAAGGACATCTCTTGGTATGACATTACAATTAATGTATTGTGTGACATCATTACAAGGACATCTCTTGGTATGACATTACAATTAATGTATTGTGTGATGTCGTTACAGGGACATCTCTTGGTATGACATTACAATTAATGTATTGTGTGATGTCGTTACAGGGACATCTCTTGGTATGACATTACAATTAATGTATTGTGTGATGTCGTTACAGGGACATCTCTTGGTATGACATTACAATTAATGTATTGTGTGATGTCGTTACAGGGATCACTTTTGGATGTGGTATTACTGCATAGCATTCTCGCCGTTCTTTCATTGATAAAAATATAATGCGACAAAACTCATCACAATAGTGAACGACATCATACCGATGACATCCATAGTGCATATCATGCAGTAATAGACACAGGTAACTGCTGCAAGGAGTTTTCAATGCCTTGGATCTGTTAGAAACACTGCATGAAAGACCGGTCATTTCATAAACCCACAGCACTTTAACTGACAGTGCTACACTACATAATGAATTTGAAGGTCAAGTTACTTAGTGACTGTCCTACTCCCACTCAACATGCAGAGCATGACTCCTCACTGTACATACACTGTATGAGACCCATGTCTGTTAAACTCAGACATACGTTAGCCACACAACAATATATAACCTTAAACAGAGAGAGAGAGATGTCAGGTCTTCATTTATTTTCCAACGGCAAACAGCCCAAAGTCTCAATTACAATGCGCAACATCTCAGAAATAGTTGACCTAGTGATACTTTTCCTGGAAATATAATGACCTACCTGGTATATGTACTTGAAGCAACTTATGAACTTCAATGTAACTGTATAACAACAACACAATACTGCATGAAAGCTACTGCCGATGCATCAGTCTCAACATTCAAGATGTGTACAATAATCACAATACACACCCGTAACAGGAATATGGTATATAGAATACTACTTGCATAAACAGCCTTCATACATATTATACAAAAATTACTATTTCTATGACAAGTTTTAGCAAGAAAAAACCCCGATTCTCATAATGGAAATAATACATGCAAATAGTCACTTTTACACTCTGCAGTTACTAATTGAATACAATGGAAAAGATTGCATTGAACGGTCATAATTCAATATCAAAACAATAACAGACATGTTCCTCAGTGACTAGGACATGTGCTTTCAGGAACGTAAGAAGATGAGGGTTACTTCCCCTGAATGTAGCTAATGTGGTCATGTGACCCCCGAAAATAGGTGACAACCAGAGTTTAAACAGCGTTGGTGAATATTGAATGTTAAAAGATCAACACAACTATTCTATTCCTGAAGCAAAACTATTAGAATCCTATTCCCATACCTAAAATGGGAATCGCATTCCTTTAATAGTAAAAAAACCTGTGAAACACAATCAGTCAATGACGGAACGTCTAAGGCTAACCATGAGGTTTCTGCTTGGCTCGATAAATCGAAAATACAACAAATATACGATGCTACCTCTGACAGCATACCTTCAACCTATTTCCTAGCATTGTTATCTACAATATGTGATACAAGAAGGTCTCGTTTCGACCAGTATTAATGCATACATACCTAAAACAAAGAGAGAGAGAGAGATATCAGGGGTCTTCATTTATTTTCCAACTGCATACAGCCCAAGTAAACGGGCAATTCTGATTGGTCAGTTGTCCTTTGGGTGGTAGCGCACCAACCCAAAGAGTTACTTCCCTTTGACCATGAAAATTATCATTACCGTATTCGACGTAATAAGCGCCCCCGCTCTAATTAGCGCCCACGGCGATATTTGCTAATATATTGGCAAGTGAACAATCCCAATTAGCACCCCTTCCGATTGATCAATGTACACAAGACTTATCTCTTCGTGTATAATACGCACTCGTGTGTTATATGCACCCTTAATTATGGGCAATTACATTCTTGAAAATATATCTGTCGTATATAAACAGTTCCGGTTGTCAGTATAATCCACGAAATTTAAATTTCAAATCTGTTTTTTTCCACCAAAATAATATTCTAATAAGAGACCCCTATTTCTAATTTTGAGAGCGCCCTGGGCGCTTATTACGTCGAATACGGTATTTCACTTTCTTACACATACTCTGTATGAGACCCATATCTGTTGTTGTTGTTCACTGTATGAGACCCATGTCTGGTGTTGGTCACTGTGTGAGACCCATGTCTGTTGTTGGTCACTGTGTGAGACCCATGTCTGTTGTTGGTCACTGTGTGAGACCCATGTCTGTTGTTGGTCACTGTGTGAGACCCATGTCTGTTGTTGGTCACTGTATGAGACCCATGTCTGTTGTTGGTCACTGTATGAGACCCATGTCTGTTGTTGTTCACTGTATGAGACCCATGTCTGGTGTTGGTCTCTGTATGAGACCCATGTCTGTTGTCGGTCACTGTGTGAGACCCATGTCTGTTGTCGGTCACTGTGTGAGACCCATGTCTGTTGTTGGTCACTGTGTGAGACCCATGTCTGTTGTTCACTGTATGAGACCCATGTCTGTTGTCGGTCACTGTATGAGACCCATGTCTGTTGTTGGTCACTGTGTGAGACCCATGTCTGTCGTTGGTCACTGTATGAGACCCATGTCTGGTGTTGGTCACTGTGTGAGACCCATGTCTGTTGTTCACTGTATGAGACCCATGTCTGTTGTCGGTCACTGTATGAGACCCATGTCTGTTGTTGTTCACCGTATGAGACCCATGTCTGTTGTTGGTCACTGTATGAGACCCATGTCTGTTGTCGGTCACTGTATGAGACCCATGTCTGTTGTTGGTCACTGTATGAGACCCATGTCTGGTGTTGGTCACTGTGTGAGACCCATGTCTGTTGTTGGTCACTGTATGAGACCCATGTCTGGTGTTGGTCACTGTGTGAGACCCATGTCTGTTGTTGGTCACTGTGTGAGACCCATGTCTGTTGTTGGTCACTGTGTGAGACCCATGTCTGTTGTCGGTCACTGTATGAGACCCATGTATGTTGTCTGTCACTGTATGAGACCCATGTCTGTTGTTGGTCACTGTATGAGACCCATGTCTGTTGTTGGTCACTGTATGAGACCCATGTCCGTTGTTGTTCACTGTATGAGACCCATGTCTGTTGTTGTTCACTGTATGAGACCCATGTCTGTTGTCGGTCACTGTGTGAGACCCATGTCTGTTGTTGGTCACTGTGTGAGACCCATGTCTGTTGTTGGTCACTGTGTGAGACCCATGTCTGTTGTTGTTCACTGTATGAGACCCATGTCTGTTGTCGGTCACTGTATGAGACCCATGTCTGTTGTTGGTCACTGTGTGAGACCCATGTCTGTTGTTGTTCACTGTATGAGACCCATGTCTGTTGTTGGTCACTGTATGAGACCCATGTCTGTTGTTGGTCACTGTATGAGGCCCATGTCTGTTGTCGGTCACTGTATGAGACCCATGTCTGTTGTCGGTCACTGTATGAGACCCATGTCTGTTGTTGTTCACCGTATGAGACCCATGTATGTTGTCTGTCACTGTATGAGACCCATGTATGTTGTTGGTCACTGTATGAGACCCATGTCTGTTGTTGGTCACTGTATGAGGCCCATGTATGTTGTCGGTCACTGTATGAGACCCATGTCTGTTGTCTGTCACTGTATGAGACCCATGTCTGTTGATGATGACTATAAACACTACCTGAGACCCATGTCTGTTGTTGGTCACTGTGTGAGACCAATGTCTGTTGTTGGTCACTGTATGAGACCCATGTATGTTGTTGGTCACTGTATGAGACCCATGTCTGTTGTTGGTCACTGTATGAGGCCCATGTATGTTGTCGGTCACTGTATGAGACCCATGTCTGTTGTCTGTCACTGTATGAGACCCATGTCTGTTGATGATGACTATAAACACTACCTGAGACCCATGTCTGTTGTTGGTCACTGTGTGAGACCAATGTCTGTTGTTGGTCACTGTATGAGACCCATGTATGTTGTCTGTCACTGTATGAGACCCATGTCTGTTGTTGGTCACTGTATGAGGCCCATGTATGTTGTCGGTCACTGTATGAGACCCATGTCTGTTGTCTGTCACTGTATGAGACCCATGTCTGTTGTTGGTCACTGTATGAGACCCATGTCTGTTGTTGGTCACTGTATGAGGCCCATGTCTGTTGTCTGTCACTGTATGAGACCCATGTCTGTTGTTGGTCACTGTATGAGACCCATGTCTGTTGTTGGTCACTGTGTGAGACCCATGTCTGTTGTTGGTCACTGTATGAGACCCATGTCTGTTGTTGGTCACTGTATGAGACCCATGTCTGTTGTCTGTCACTGTATGAGACCCATGTCTGTTGATGATGACTATAAACACTACCTGAGACCCACCGCTACATGAGAACTGTGTTTTTTGCTGTAGGCTATGCAGTTCTGTCAGGAGCTGGAGTCTGAGAGGAATGGCCGTGCTAAGGCCGAGGTGATCGAGGATGAATCCACAGACAAGTCGGTGAGTTATTGTTGAGACACCATTTCCTAGGAAGTTATTTTAAGTGCACTAGTTTTAAATATAAACCAGTTTTTCAATGTAACCAGATTGATTGGCAAACACTGTTTTCCTGCACTGACTTCCCCTTGCTGAGACCACTTCGTGGTCTGGTGGTATAGCTTCAGCATGGAGAATGGAAAGACTGGCGTTTGATCCCCGGCCATGTCATACCAAAAGACAGTAAAAATTTGTACTTCTTGTTACCCTGCCTAGCGCCCGGCATTATGGGGTTAAAACAAAGACTAGTAGAGTCAGATAACTGTGTCTGAGTGGGGTATTCATGTTAAACTGCTGCATGGTATTTCAGTAGTCTATAGGGGTGACTATTGGTCTGGACATCACTATTGCGATAACTATTGATATTGAATGAAACTAGTGCGATAACTATTGATATTGCAAACAACTATTGCGATAAATATCAACAGTTTTCAGTGTATCATTTTAGATGGATTTTAGAGTTGAATTAAACCTTGGAACTGAAGTTTCCTTTGAATGTGATAACCATAACAACAAATAAAAAGTAAAGTTTGATATATGACTGATTTGTTTTTTCTTTACCCTAATAATTTAAGAAAAAGGAACTTCCACATTACCATGTGTAAATTACTACCACTCATGATCAAAAGAAAAACAAATTTGAACAGCATTGCATGTATTTTATTGATATGGTAAATACAATCGAAACTATCCTGCACTGAAATCAATACTTTTGATCGGAAACTGATTTAACAATCGATTTATTGACTTTAAGTGCTTACCAATAGTGAAATATGGATATTTCGATTTATCGTGACGCCCCTAGTAGGCTAGTACGATAAAATCAGCATTAGTCCGGACTAGCACAAGCAGCCAAACACACTGAGAGCAGCGTTAAATAAACAAACACACACACTCACACCTGCATGCACATCGCTATATAAGTGCAATAATCTTGGCTACAACGTTAAACCCCATTTCACCACAACCGTGCTGAGGTTTTTGTTTCTGCTGATAGATTCAACCTTTTTCAGGCTTGATTATCTCAACAATAAACAATGTCAACACCCTACTGAAAGAAACGTTTCATAGCCAGTGCTGGTGAGATGCAACAACATTAATTCCACCCAATATTATATTTCATATGTGTAAATATTCATTTTCTTTACATACTATCTGTGATGTGAGATTCTCTAGTCCCAAGTTTATCATGCTTGTTGTACTTGAATGGGGATGACATGGTAAGACTGTGTGTGTTTGTTGTTTAACACTGCAATATTCCAGCTATATCGTTGTGGTACAGGTTATGTAAAGGTTTTCCATGGTTTAAAGTGTTGGCTCATCGTGCCAGAGAACCAGGTTTTATTTTACACATTGGAGCAATGGGTGACGTTCCTTCTATTTCCATAGCCGTGATAGCTGGATCACGGTGGCAAGAAAGATGTTCGTAATATTAGGAATATTCAAGTTTTGTTTGTTGTGTAATGCCGTACAATGCAATATTGCAGCTAGGTATATGACGGTGGTTTGTAAATAATCGAGTCTGGACCAGACAATCCAGTGAATAATATCAGGAGCATCGATCTACACATTTTGGATACAATAACATACATCAACCAAGTCGGGGAGCCTGACCACCCAATCCTATCATTTGCCTCTTATGACAAGCATGGGTTGACCTATTCTAACCCAGATCTTCATGGATCAGTCTGACTGTGACTTGGATGGCGTGTCACTGTACATGGACACCATTGGTTTGTCTGGTCCAGACTCGATTACAGGCAGGCAGTCGTGTAATTGCTGGAATATTGGTGGCTGGTGTTAAACACTTTTCACTCTTTACTTCTGCTCAACCCTGTTAGATATATTTACCTTTTCTGACACAGCACGAGTTCTACAAGGCCCTGACTGGTGAGGATGATTCTGATGATCCCTCGACTGCAGCAGATCCTGCCAAGGAGCTTTACAGGTTCGTAGTAGACCTTCACAGGTTCATAGCAGACCTTCACGGGTTCGTAGCAGACCTTCACGGGTTCGTAGCAGAACTTCACGGGTTCGTAGCAGACCTTCACGGGTTCGTAGCAGACCTTCACGGGTTCGTAGCAGACCTTCACGGGTTCGTAGCAGACCTGCACGGGTTCGTAGCAGACCTGCACGGGTTCGTAGCAGACCTGCACGGGTTCGTAGCAGACCTTCACGGGTTCGTAGCAGACCTGCACGGGTTCGTAGCAGACCTTCACGGGTTCGTAGCAGACCTGCACGGGTTCGTAGCAGACCTGCACGGGTTCGTAGCAGACCTTCACGGGTTCGTAGCAGACCTGCACGGGTTCGTAGCAGACCTGCACGGGTTCGTAGCAGACCTGCACGGGTTCGTAGCAGACCTTCACAGGTTCGTAGCAGACCTGCACAGGTTCGTAGCAGACCTGCACATGTTCATAGCAGACCTTCACGGGTTCATAACAGACCTTCACGGGCTCATAACAGACCAATCTCAATATCAGATTTTAGTTTTCGCTATCGCTAAACAAAGATCTGAGGACATCTAATTACGGGTCACGTCAGAACGACCGTTCATCCAACCAATCAGAGCGTCGCTTACCAGATCATGAAAGTGACAGTCGGAATGTGTTTTCTGATCATGCAACCACGATATATTTAACACAAGGTATTCCGAACGACAGTTATGGGTTTTATGATTATATCCATACAATCTAGGCTAGGCCATCTATGAGCCATTCCAGAATGTTCTTATCAGTTTTAAAATTTTAATCGAGAATACGTCAAAATATGTTTCGAAGTGTAGTCGCCAGTTGGAAACTAGTGTCGTAAAGCTCGAGAAAGCGGCCTTCTGATTGGCCAATGTCGATTTCTTGTCAGTCATTTTATTGGTCGGTCAAAATTCGCGAAAGGTCGTTCTGACGTGACCCGTAATGGGATATCCTCAGATCTTTGTTAAGCGGTAGCAAGAACTAAGATCTGATTTCAATAAGATTGATAGCAGACCTTCACAGATTTGTAGCAGACCTTCACAGGTTCATAGCAGACCTTCACAGGTTCATACCAAAAATTCACAGGTTCATAGCAGACCTTCACAGGTTCAAAGCAGACCTGCACAGGTTCATAGCAGACCTTCACAAGTTCATAGCAAAAATTCACAGGTTCATAGCAGACCTGCATAGGTTCATAGCAGACCTGCATAGGTTCATAGCAGACCTGCATAGGTTCATAGCAAACCTTCACAGGTTCATGGCAAACCTGCATAGGTTCATGGCAGACCTGCATAGGTTCATGGTAGACCTGCACAGGTTCATAGCAGAACTTCACAGGTTCATAGCAAAAATTCACAGGTTCATAGCAAACCTTCACAGGTTCATTGTAGACCTGCACAGGTTCATGATAGGCCTTCACAGGTTCATGATAGGCCTTCACAGGTTCATGGTAGGCAGTCAGACGATGTGTTGCATCATTGATTTCAGTCCTGTACATGTATTATCAGTCAAGATATCAATAATAATTTTTGTAGATTGTCAGATGCTAGTGGCACTATTCAATTCAAACTGGAGAAGAAAGGAGACATCGCCAGGTCTGATCTGGACAGCAAGGTAAGAAGACAAATTTTAATTTTAATAAGATCTGAAGCCATTTGCACACCTGGAGCCAGCACCACCCAATTCTTTATTTTATATATTCCGAAGTGTCTATGGTACCAGTGATACCTGCAGAACAGTTGGCACAGTGGACACTGCAAGAACTGATCAGGGAATGCAACATTAAAAGAGCTGTCAGATCACTATTGACTTGACCCAGTTAAACTTTTAGTTTCTGTATTTTATTGTGAAAAATGTCTTTTGAAATGGCTTTTTTATGTGGATATATATATTTACCGCCAATTTAAATGTGAATACCATACAAGTTGGTTTATTATAAGTGAAGAATTACTCATATCCAAGAGATATCAGATAGCGTTGATGCATTGACGAACAGACTGGAACCCATATTTTAATAATGACTCCCTCAATAGAATCCAACCTTGGTAATGTTGGACAAGTCCATTTAATGCACAGGTGGATATTTCACAATCCTCACGTGAATTACCTGTAACTCATATCTCTCCCGCTTTTGGATGTGATTATTCGGCCATCACGTCTATATGCGTTGCCCTGCTACATCTATAGGGAACAATTCACAAGACACTCCCCTCTTAAAAATAACATTGTCCAATATATGACATCATCAACTTGCGAGTGCATATTTGAATCTCCAGATATAATGTCGTGATAGAAGATGTTTTATCGTGAAATAAGTCGCGCTTCATCCTTCTTTGTTCTTTACGATTTATCACGTAGCTATCTTATATTATTAGTTATGGTGTCTTTAGTTGCCATATATGGTGTCATATTTGGTTAGCAGAAAAATATTGGGCAAGTGGTCAGCGTATACGGTGTCATATTAGGCCGGATATTTTTCTGCTGACCTAATATGTCACCGTTTTCGGCAACTAAAGACAAAATGAACGAATTTATTATGCCGCAATATTTTCACTACCTGGTATCCTTATCGCACATGTCATGTCAAAATGAAAACTTCCCACCTACAACAAATGACTTTAAGGGTCAAAGGGAGACTACTCTTCACACCTTATAGGCTGAACATTGTTGAAACCTTTAGCTATAATCTCTATCAATAAAGTCACAAACATGATTTTTTTTAAATAAATGTCCTTGCACATCACGATTAATATGAAAACACAAACAAATGTCGAATAACTAATCTCTGTACCAAAATTTTCATCTGAAATATGTGAGGTGGGTGTTGGAAATTCAAGCTGGCTGTTACTGATGGTATACGGTCTCATATTAGGTCAGTAACCGCCATCTTGGATTTTTTCAGATGGGAGACGGGCTCATGAGGGGTTAGTTCTGCTCTCTGATTGGTCAATCTCACTTTGAGGCATAGAAACTAACATTAATAGTACATGCCACTTGTCTATAACTTTTCAGCCTTACCTGATGTGTATTGGGCTCAAATACTGTTCAAATTTGGTATTTATGTTACTGCTACTGAGGCAGCCATATTAGATATACAACTGTGATGAAGAAATTTTTACTTTTTGCTTGTTTGACTTCACAATTCTTTCAGGGAGATGTTGTTGTGTAACACAGATGTATCTAACACAGATGGACGAAAGAGATTTCATTTCTTTGTAACTTTGTTAACTTTGCGCACAAAGAAAAAGCTAATAATGTTTGTTTACTCATTAGGATGTGTTTATTCTGGATACGAAATCTGACCTGTTTGTGTGGATCGGTCAGGACACATCCAAGAATGAGAAGAAGACTGCATTGGAGTTTGCACATGTAAGTAGTGTTTGGATGTGCTTGTATAACATTCAAAATTGGTCAAGGTTCAAAACTCCTTGTATTAAAGTGCCAATGTATTGTAGACATAAACTGTGACATGATAAGTGAGGGCTTTCTGATTGGTTGTCATAGGCCCAAACCTATCAATTTGCAAACACTAGAATATTCTAGAAACGATATCGGATAGTTAGGGATGAGAGCCTGGTTCTATTTCTTGCTGACATTTGGTGAAACTTCCAAATCTTGTTTGCAAACAGCTGTATCAGTGTTGCACCTGCAAAGCCCCAAGTAAGTTTCTTACACTGATCTATAGAGGAACATTTCATGCTCATTAATTTTACTTTTGAGCATGGCCAAAATATATTTTCCAGAACTATCTTATGAAGAGTGACCACCCTTTCATCTCTGTGACCTGTGTTGCTGAACGTCAGAGGTCCGCTAGTTTCAACGCAGCAATTGCTGCATAATGGGATAGCCCACTTCCTGTCACCTGACCTGAGGTTGGACATCAGCCCTAGACATTCTACCATAAGTGCTATCTGTTTTCATATATGCATATGTCTATCCATACAACAATTCTTTTCTCATGGGTAAATGTACTTAAGAAATACTGTGCAAGTGACAAAAATTGCTAAAAGAACAAATTCAACACCTAATTAAATGCTTCCATTAAATGATTTACTGATAATGGAAAGTGCATTCCTTGGTTTCTTATCCAGGGGGTATCATTTGTGATAAAACTGTTTTCTCTGAGATATTATGCTGATATTGTTTCAATCAGAAGATTAACTCACTCAGGACTCCATGATCCTTAGCTATTTTTTTAAATAATTCCAAATTTGTAGTATTTACAGCTATATCATGTAAGTCCAGGAACAAGACCCAGACATTTGTACAGAGTGGCGTCCCTTGGCTACCAGGGTCGTTGACTTGCGAGTCAGAATTGCTGTGATCTTCATCCCTGCTTCAGCAGCAATGAAAATTGTGCAGAACACTTTTTTCTTGCATGACCCACCTTGAAATGTCCAAAATATGTTCAAACGAATCACAATCACTCACACGTCTAAGTCTCTGCACTGGTGTTTCTTAGGTATGTTCACCTGATGTTCTGTTTTCTCTAGAAACATTTGTAATGTTGTTACCCCAAAATTTAGGTTTATATCTGTTATGTTGATATGTTTGCCAAAATCATTTTTTTTTTATATGGATATTTAGAATTTACAGGCATTCCTGTCCCTCTCTTGTCTATCATTTTTTCTTATTTTAGTTTGTAGAAGTATTGTGTGAACATGTTTGTTTGTTTATCTCCAAAAAAAGTAAACAATATGAACAATCATTTCATATTTACAACTAAAACCACATGATTACAAATGTCTTAATCTTTGGCTCAAGAAACGTAAGGAAATGTGTATTATATACATGTATGTTTGAAACAGAAAATCTTCAGATAGAAGCTCCACAGGGCACGACAAAAATGTTTTTCATCAAAAACGTATTTTCAAAGCTGTCAAGTCATAAAGGATTTTGTTATGTCAGTAGGCAGTAAGTTCAGTTATACTTATAAGCAGCCCTGGTTGCAAAGCAAGACCAGTTGTCCTATTAAATCATTATAATTTTGACATGCATAGAACTAATGTTAAAACCAGATGATTTTTTGCCAGTCAATCCCGAAATATTCATATTGCCCTGAAAAGTCAAATCCTTCACATGGCCAGTTTGAACATGATCCACATGCTTATTAGAAACATATAATTTAATTTCACGTGTCCTCAAAATCCCCAGAGAATCACTGTGGGAAAGGGGCCAAGGGGCCTATCTGATTCATTTAACAAAAGGTTAAGGGTGGGTTATTTCCAATGAGTGACCACCTGTCCACTGCAATAATATAAACACAAGTATTTGTGGCACCCACTGACTCAATCTAGTCACTCATGATTGTCTCCCTTTGTTGTACCAGGAAACCACCCAATAGCGCCACTGTTGGTATGTTGAGCATTAAAAAAACATTCCCTTCACCAGGCCAATTGGCCAAGCGTTACCAATGCCATGACAGTATTGTTTTCCAGATAGAAATTCAAGCCCTTTACCATTTTAGCGAGTAATTTTTATCATTTGAAAAAGAAGTTTCAATTTTGAATCGATGTGATTTTTAATTTATTAACAATTAATTGTTTGTTTGGTTTATTAACGGCTTCTGAATGCAGATTGTTAAAAATATACTTGTGACATTTCTTCAGGAAAGCCATTTTGTGCCTTCTTTTCAAATGATCAGCCAAAATGCACTTTTTGCAAAATGATTATTCAAGTCATCTTTTATTGTTTTTTTTGTTTTGTTACAATAGATTTGTTAGGTGTTCTAGATAAAGAGATTTTTCTAGTCCAGCCAAGTTAGCTCAAGGTTTGTACCATTCCATCCTAATGTTACACAGAGGTAAAAGAATTGTATTTATGACAGCTTCACCAAAATAGTAGGATGGTGCCAGCTCAAAAAGAGAATGATTGATTATGTACCTTGATTATGAAATTATAATTATTTAATTGAAATTTCGATATTCTGCCTGATACAGCTCATCGATGATACATATCGGGGGGAAAAGAAATATGGTAATATTGGAAATTGGAAACTAAAACAGAAGATTTGTTAATCATGATTTTTTTGTCTTACCTTAATATGTTGTTTACCATCATAAGGAATTAGTCAGCCAAGTGAGCCTTTGGTCTAAAGATTCTACTTGTGTGCTACTGTAGACATATTTTGTTTGAAAAACATTTTACCTTCATGGGTACAATATTGTCTCAAATTTTACGGATTTGATTTGTGTATTGACATTTACACTCAATAGAATAAAGACTTACCATAATGGGTATCTTTCTTATTATTTGATCAGAGTTAGAATAGGTCTTCATCAACCGATGCTTGCCGTAAGAGGAGACTGACGGGATCGGGTGTTCAGGCTCGCTGACTTTGTTGATGCATGTTGTTGTATCTCAATTGTGTGGATCAATGCTCATGATGTCAATCACTAGATTGTCTGGTCCAGATTGGATTATTTACAGACTATAGTCATATAACTCGAATATTGATGAGTGCTCCGGTAAACAACAAACATTTGGAAAATATGGTATTGAATGAGTACTGTATGTATAGCTGTGGTCAGTTGTGTCCGGCTGTATCAGGACAGCCTATGAAAAAATAAATCGGCACCAGGCAAACCAGTGACTGAAAACGTGAGGAACGATCACGGCTATCCACAAGAATGGAATGGTACTTGACAACCAAGGCAATGAGTCTCTCACACCCAAACCTTGTTTGTTTGATTTTTGTTGAACGCCTCACTCAGCAATATTCCAGCTATATGACCAGACATTTCGGTGATTTGAGTTGTCTTCCATAAGCCAGTGGGTGCTGAGGTCATGGGGGTTGGATCTGTGGTGGTTGGAGAGAGGGATGGGGGGTGGGGGTGCCGATGCAACCACTGAACCACTGACTGATTTGTGTGTCACTGAACAACAAGATGCAGGGCCTATCAAGCACAGGTTGGCCTGTTGTTACTTCGTACTGCAGTACATACCATGCTCGTGGGTTTCACCGAAGTGGTTAACGTCTGAGACCTGCATCACTTCGGGCTTTCCTCCCACATTAAGCTGACACGCCGTGATATGACTGGAACACTGTTAAAAGCGGCGTTAAACCCAACTCACTCAGTCACTCACTCGTACTTCAGTGAGGAAACGAGTGGTCTGGGTACTAATTCTATTGATCAGAATGTTTTGGTCCGATTATGACCCCTGTCCTGACATATATCTGGTTCTGTGCTACAAAGTGACCTTGACCCTAAAATTGTTCTAAGTTTAATGTTAAAGTATGGGAGTTACTTTTGTCTTAGGGCTAAGATTGTAGAAGTATTCTTGTCATTGCCTGTACTTGATGGTTTCACAACAGTGGTAAACAGCTATGTTTGTGTGAGTTGTTTTACTCCACTTAATGTGGGATGAAAGCCCCAAGTGATGTAGGCCTTAGACGTTTACAACTTTGATGAAACCAAGGAGCATAGATATGATGCTGAATCAAGAATTATGATCAGAGCGAATTTTGGATTCGAACTGCACAGCAAACCTAAAACTACTGTCATTCACACTTCTTAACAGATATGTAGGCAGGTGTGTCCAGTCAGGTGCTGCAATTCGCTGTGGAGAGTTGCGTTCTTGGGCACGCCAGAAACCAATGATCGTGGGTTTGAATCCTGTTCGCCCTGTGTTTCTCTGTTTGTCAGCAAGTGGTAAAAGCCTGAGACCTGCTCACTTCGGGGTTCCTCCTTCATTAAGCTGATATGGCATGATATGCTTCGCTCGCTCGCTTGCTCTCTCACTGACTCACTCACTCACTCACTCACTCACTCAACCCTCCCTCCCTCACTCACTCACTCACTCACTGAAACTGGCTCACAGCCACCTCCTTGGCAAGTTGTACATCTATCTATGGCCTAGATGGTATAACCTAACTGTACATTATGTAAATGGGCCCATATAATGGTCCTTCAGGCGTTTATAGAACAGATGTTACACGGCTTGTCAGCTTGGATGACGTTACCATCCCACTGCACCTGTTAACAAGAAATGCGTAATAATTTATTGCATTATGGATGAAGTAGTTCGATCTTTCAGCAGCTGATGTTTCTTGGCGTCCACTGATAACATGGAAAATGTCGGCGAAATTTGTTATGTAGACGTTCTCCTATAAAGTTATTGATAACTAAAAATACATTATTGCCTTAATGTTACTCGCTGGTTCCGAAGTTGAAACGGGAAGGTTAGCCCAGACATCGGTATGTACAGAACTAAATTCGAACAATATCAATGAATAATTAACAGATGCTATTGAATAATGCCACAAATCATAATCGCAATATGTACAAATACAGTTACAATATTACACCGTTTTTTTCAACTAACATACCTAAAACTCACAACTCCGCATCTTCTTTTAAATCTGTGATTTTTATGTTTTTTGTTTCAAGCAACAAGTGATTCGGACAACTGTTTAAGGTTCAAGGATGCTCCGCTTGTAGTGGGCCATAGTATGACCTGTCTCTGGTTTCGTTCGACTTCAGGGGGCACGGGTGGCCCAGTCGTCTGAGGAGCCGCGATTCGCTGTGCAGAGTTCCGTCCCTTGGACACGCCAGGAACCTATGATTGGGGGTTCGAATCCCAGTTCATCCCGATTATGTTTCTAGGTTTGTCAGCACCATACCCGCGCTCGTGGGTTTCACCGAAGTGGTAAACGTCTCCGACCTGCATTACTTCGGGCTTTCCTCCCACATTTAACTGACACGCCGTGATATAACTGGAATACTGTTAAAAGCGGCGTTAAACCCAACTCACTCACTCGTTCACCTTCATAACCATAATCCGTCTGTACAGTGTGAAGTGTTGAGATCTGGACTGCGCCGAATGATGTACACGTGCAAACATATCAAGTTTAGTACTCGACGATCTTTTACTACAAAACATACCATGTACAAGTAAAAGGACGTGCAAAATCTGAATTCAAGAGACCGACTTTTGTTAGGATAAAATAAATTAATATCACTGAAATATTGTTCAAAAGTCACTGATACATACGGGACGTCAATACATGACGCTCTGGATTATTGCAGCATAAATCCCGAAATATGACGAAAATATGCGCTAGATATGGGTGTTTTCTGTTTCACACTACCTATACAGAATACACAGAATTTATAACCTTACCTGACCCGTGAAGATCCGGGGTAGAATAGGTCTTAAAAGGCGACTATACTTGTCCTACGATGCGACTAACGTGATCGGGTGGTCAGGCTCGCTGACATGGTTGATGCCTATCTACGTATCCCAATTGCGTGGATCGATGCTCATAATTTCAGTCACTTGATTTTCTGGTTCAGGCTCGATTATTTACAGACCGCCGACATGTAGCTGGAATATTGCTGAGTGTGGCGTTCAACAACGTGAAGTGAAATATAACCTTACCTTCCTTCATTAATGCTCACTCATTGCAATTGTGTCACATCAATGCATCATTCCTTTCCAAGCCGGTAATAGGGGAGTGGGTGGCTGCAATGGACAACCCACCCCCACATCCCCAATCCCACCCCCACCTCCACCCCCTTACAATTCAAAATGTGACCCTCCCATAACCATTGCAGGTATAAATTCAAACACACACACACACACAGGGAGCGGTGAGATAGCCTTGTCGTTAAAGCGTTCGCTCGTCACGCCGAAGGTCTGGGTTCGATCCCCACATGGGTACAATGTGTGAAAGCTATTTCTGGTGTCCCCGACGTGATATTTGAGGAAGATTGCTCAAAGCGACGTAAAACTATACTCACCTACTCACCTAATCATTGCTGGCGTACTGGCGGACTGGCGGACTGCTGATAAAACTCCGTTCATTTCCTCCTACAGACACTGGGGTCTAGCTAGCCTGTTTATCGGAGCTAGACTAACATCCTAACATCCGCTTCATCACTCCATTGTGTTTACAAATATCTATACAGTTAAACATATGTTAATTTGTAAATTTGAGCAAACTTTTGGTTTGGGTTTGGCAGCAATTCGATATACCCAATATTGGGTGATAAATATGGAATACTACAAGGGTCATTGTCGCGTTGTCGCATTGTCGCCCTTCCAAAAACAAGCAAAAAGTGTCAAAATTTACCAAAGCGCAACATTGCGACAACGCGACATTTTGGCCATTTGTGGCGTTGTCGCAGAGTCGCGCTTCGAATAATCTTTTTCATTTTACCAAAGCGCGACAATGCGACAACGCGACAATGGCACTTGTAGAATTCAATGGATAAAGGCTCTGAAACATTCAAAATGTGACAGGTGCAGCGATTCAAACTTGGATAATTAGCATTTAAATTCATATAAAACGCCGAGTTCTTTTTCAAATCCTGGCCAATGTATACCACTTTATACATAGTGTTCATGTGTGATTTTTTTTAAAACTTGATCAAGACATATGTTGTTGAGATATCAGGTTAAAATGACGTCCTGGTTATGCTTGAACCTCCAGGCACAGTGATGTTCTAGCTCTGTAGGGGTTATTTGGGCGTTATTTGTCAGATTGTCTACACTGTCACCATCTCTTGACAACAGACACTTACAGGGTCCATTTTAGGGATTTCTACATTGTCCTCAATGTAATGAGTGAGTGAGTGAGTATGGTTTTACGCCGCTTTTAGCAATATTCCAGCAATATCACGGCGGGGGACACCAGAAATGGGCTTCACACATTGTACCCATGTCGGGAATCGAACCCGGGTCTTCGGCGTGACGAGCGAAGACCTCAATGTAAAGGCCTATACATGTTATGTGATATAGAGCAGTGGCGATACTAGTTTAGTATGCTCATTTTTTCTCGTGTTTCAGCCCACAGATGTCCTACTGTTCAAATAATGAAATGCGCTGTTGTGAATTAAATTTTACAAAATAAACAAAACATCTACGAAAGCATCACAGAGCAAAATGAAACCGCATCAACTAAAACTTGAAAAACTCAATAAACACCAAACAAAAACAAAATCTGTCCCCAAAGCACATTTGAGTTTGAGTCTACTTTTAATAATCTAAATATCATCCCATTACAATTGTTTAAGTTGATCTTTTTAAAATCGACTTTCTGAAGCACGTTCGGTTACGATGTTCGTTGTTTGTTGTTTAACGCCGCACTCAGCAATATTCCAGCTATATGTCGGCGGTGTTGAGTTTGGACCAGACAATCCAGGGATTGAAATTATGAACATCGATCTACGTAATTGGGATACGATGACATGCATCAACCAAGTTAGCGAGCCTGACCACCCGATCCCTTTATTCGCCTCTTGCGACAAGCACAGTCGCCTCTTACGGCAAGCATGGGTTGCTGAAGACTTATTCTTACCCGGATCTTCACAGATGGTTTCGATCTTCACGAGGTGGGGTAATGTCGTTCAATGTCAGGATTGACAGAAACATTTTACAAAATCAGTGAGAAATACCTGTACTAGGGATATGCTTGGGACGTGGTCCCTTCTTGGATAACTTAGAGAAAATAACCTGCTTCTGTGGAGGTGTCCTTAGATCTTCATGCAGACAGGCATCATATTGGAGTAAAAGATCTAACTCAATAAGACTGTTTTGTTTGTTCGTTTGTTTGTTGTGTAACGCCGCGCTCAGCAATATTCCAGCTATATGACGGCGGTCTGTAAATAATTGGGTCCGAACCCGGCACTCCAGTGATTGATATCATGAGCATCGATCTACGCAATTGGGATAATGAGGATAATGGGGGCTTTGTCGCGTCCTTACAGCAGCAGCGTCTTTAACGATGTATCGGTTTCGTATAACCGAGTTTCCCCAGTTTATATAAAGCACGCCAGTACTTGAAATATATATAGAAATATTTGTACTTTGATACCCTCAACTGCCACTGCCGAGCCAGTACAACACAACAAGCAAATCAGGTCAGTTCTTTGTTTCGGCCATATCCGATACCAAAGAAAACATTACCTGTCGATCAAGGTAATACTGTTCATGGACAGGCAGATCGGAACAGTTGAACTGGCAAAATAATTACCCCTACAGATATGTTCTCATTGACTTGAGCTTGAAACACAGAACACAATTTCCAAATACACTGTATATACGCTTCCATATGAACAATAATCCCCAGTACTATCATCATATACCGCGTGTATTGTTAAAAGAATGTTTACGGATGGTTGAATCTGAAAGCCCGAACGCTGTCCAGGAATTGTTGATTGAGACATATCGACGCTGGACCAATTTCACAACCTCGGTCACCTGACTCTTAATCACTATCCGTGACGTCAAAATCAGACGTCATTTTAGCTTGCGGCGGGAGTGGAAAAGTGGGAAAACAGTTTGTCCTAAATTTCTCGGCAGTTTCGACACCACCTCGCTATAACAACGCCTGACCTACATTGACATATCACCACGCCGTCAGGTGAGTGTTTGTTTATCTCGAAATAACGCGCATGGGCATCGAGGTGTCGCCGCAAGATGTTTCCCTGTTATAATCAACACCGAACCAATTCACAGGCAATAAATCTCGTAATAGAGTAACTTCGTGATAAATAAAATGATTATTCATGCGGTTCGACATGGTGAAATGTACATGACACAAGTCCACGTGAATCATTTGTAGAGCATGTTAGGAAATAGTGACAGGGGATTTTAACCGGATAAGCTGTGTCCACACTCGAGCATCTGTAGCAGACGACTCACGCACGGGACGGGACAGCTCAGTTCAGCAGCAGTATCGCAGACGACAGGTACGTCATGTGTACATGTCCGCCTTTCTATGGACTGATAGTGTGATAATCTGATCATATATTCTGCACCTTATCTCCCTTGGTCGTACACGTTTACCCCTTCGTAATTGTGCTTGGTTGTAAGCATTTTTAACGGCCATAGTTCTGATTTAATTAAGCGAACTTGTCACGAGTGAATTGCAGCAGTATGTATAGTGTCCTAGTTTATATTATCGCTGATATAATGTGTATATAGTGTCTGCCAACAACCGTTTATTTAAGAAGTCATAAATCTGTGAATGTTTTTTGGTAAACATTGATAACTAATTATACACGCAAAGGTTCCCGATTGGTTGGAACTTGAAAAGTATTGATTTCAAGTTACTTCGACATATTATTTCATTTTTGAATTCAGCGTTTGATCGTCAGTATCATTTATTACAGTATTACAGTACACTTCGTGAAGAGTCTAGTATACTAAATGTAAAGGCGAGCTTAGCACATTTCCTGTTGATAATTGTCTTAAGCCAAGGCCGTGTCTGACACCTTCAGCATATGAATGTTGGCGAACAGAGCTTAACATGCATCCATTGATATTCAAGGACCATGACGTATACGTGCTCAGCATACAGTGATCTATTGATTCAAAACACGTCAGAGTCACTTATTAAATGTTATTGTATAACAGGCCAAACAGACACGGAACCATTGCAATGGTCGCGGGTCTCACTTGAGCTGAGTGTATTGATTGGTATAAAAACGTTAGGAATCGGCGGTTACAGGTTTAAACGAGAGCCACGGTCTTGTCATACAACTACAACCACAAATGCAAAAAGGCTTCATTCGACCGTATGGTTTGTTTGTTTGTTTGTTGTTTACCGCCGCACACGGCATTATTCCAGCTATATGTCGTCGGTCGACCGTCTCGAAGATATATACGTCTGTATTGGGCAAGACGTTTTGTCACAATTGCATGCATGCATTAAGAATAATGTGTCACGATTATGACAAAAGTTGTATAAGCGTTAAATGATGGTATAAAAATTGTGATGAAAACAAACAAAAATGTCGTGAGAGAGTAATGTATTTTGTTTAGCCCTGAATTAACATGGCACTCTCCAGCGTGACCAGAAACGAAAATATTTTCGGGTTCTCTGGCTGTAACTCACCTTGAAATATCTCAGACACAAGGAAGTAAGAAGTAAGTTCTTTATTATGAAGATAAAATCCATAAACTCTCTCTCTTTCTCTCTCTCTCTCTCTCTCTCTCTCTCTCTCTCTCTCTCTCTCTCTATATATATATATATATATATATATATATATATATATATAATAAATGCCATTAAAAAACACCACAAGGAAGTAATTCACAAGTCTCATCTTACAATTGTCCAGTAGAATCTGACCGCTATCTGACTGACCATGAGCTTCACATTGATGTCCTGTATCGTATGACCTGCATAACTGATACACATCATGTTCTTTGAACATGACAACTGTAAACCATCGCCCCTGTAGCATGTCAGATCTTGCGATTGCTCCATTCTCAAGTACCCCCTTGGGCACAAGCATATGACTTGTCGAGTCGGTTACATCACGAATCATGTCTGCTGACTGTTATCGGGCGATGTCTGTTATCTGATATTAATATGACCTATTATAACATCTTTGATCATTACTATGACCGAACGGGAATCTAATTTTTTACAATTCTGGGGCTTGGTCATCGTTTTAGTTTAAACGGATTCAAGTGTCCATGCATGTTGAATATATATAGTAGTAAGCATGGCCCAGTGGTGTAATCGCTTGCAGAGTTGCATCCCTTAACAGTACCAGGATCGGACCGACAATTGTTTGAACTCCAGAGTCGTCTGATTATAATCCTTGTTCTGGCAGGACCATCCCGTCGTCATGCATGACAATGATGCGATTCACGTCTACGATTTGCGGCGTAACAGCCAACTGACTCACTCACTCACTCACCCACCCACTCACTCACTCACACCGTCATGAGTATTAGAACCATTTGCATGTTAATCTCGAAACGTGCTAGTGCATTGGGTTGTTACCTGAACCGTTGCATTAAGCCCAGATCCACAACATGCGCCCTTAATCTTGTTTCTCCACCTACCACACATTTCCTGAGAAATGTATATGGCTCTTTGTAAGGCTTGTAAACAAAGCGTACAGCGACGTCAGGTGCGCTGTGTCAGTACTTGTTCCTCGAAATGTTGCATGCACTGCTGATTATGGCCCGAGTGTGTGAGAGAGCACGTTACAGCTATTCTGTAGCCTCCTCCTCCCCCCCCCCCCCCCCCTTCCCTTTCTTAGTAGTCATAATGGGAGTGAACGAACCCATCTCTCCAAGTAGTCATTGTATTTTACGCAAGAAACATGTCGCAATATGTACATCCCGGACCTCTTGATCTTTTTAAAGCTGAAAGTAACTTGATCAAAGTTGTGATGCAAGATATATTGCGCAATAACTTGTATGTACATTGATGAAGCATTGATATTTCATATAACAATGAGCCACTCGTGCATAAATGTAGGTGTAGTTCAACGAAATCCTAAGAAGGAAATTATATCAGCTTAATGTTCGAACTGGATAAATTCCTTCTAAAGTTGACATACAGGTTAATATGAGCTTAAGTTTCGAGCGGGATATGTTCCTTCTGTAATATATTGACGATCGACTCCAGCCATTGTTAGACGTGCTGTTATCACTGTCAAGTGTTAATGGCTCGTCTATCTCCTCACATCGTGACATCAATTGTGAAACAAGGAAAACAGATATATAATTATCTAAAGTAAGGAAAATAAACACATGTGTGTCCGCCTCACTCGTGAATCAAGTTGTGATGACATTGGACATCCCGCTGTAAATAAATAAAACAATCCATACAATACCAGAAGCCTACATATACTTCTTATTGACATATTCGTTTTCTGCTTGGCAATGAACACGCGAGAATACAAATTCAATTTATTCACGTTGTTTCATAATCTTGTCCGTGTAACAAGCAAGCAGCTGTGTGTAACGATTCTTTAACATTTGCAACCAAAAGTGCGGAACAGATATTAGTAGATTTCTCAACATCTTGATCACGAATAGTTACTTAGTCCCTTAATAAACGATACATCAGATGTAGTTTGAGGTAAATCCAATTTGAAATGCATCAATTTATCGCTTTGATAAGTTAAAAAAAAACTCTTTAAGCTATAGGTTAAAACATTTTAAAACATCTTTTAACAGTTTTTGTTTTAACTTGGTCTTTAATAAACCCTTTTAAACATGAAACGCGCGAAAGTGTACATTTCTGTTTCAATCAATATTTAATCTGGTTAAATATGTCCGCATCTCTTCTCCGATGACAGCCAGTTTCGAACTGTGTGATTATAAGGTTAGTTTGGTTGGTTTGTTGTTTAACGCCGCACTCAGCAATATTCCAGCTATATGACGGTGGTCTGTCAATAATCGAGTCTGGACCAGACAATCCAATGATTGATATCATGCGCATCGATCCATGCAATTGGGATCGATGACATGCATCAACCACGTCAGCGAACCTGACCACCCGATCCCGTTAGTCGCCTCTTACGACAAGCATAGTCGCCTTTTACGACAAGCATGGATAGCTGAAGACCTATTCTAACCCGGATCTTCATGGGTCGTGATAATAAGGAAGAGAATATATGGATGTCAACTTCTTTATTATGAGGAACACGACGTTTCGGAGTATATGCTTACTCCCCCATCAGGTGAATGAATGCGATGAGGCAGTAAGCACATACATGTACATGTAAGGACAATAAAATTAATAAGATAACAAAAGGTGGAAACTAACAAAGGGTAGAAACTAACAAGGAAGCCAACAGACGATTGGCTCTGATAGGGGATATCAGACAATAGACAATAGAAGCTAACACTTTACAGTAATTGTGTGATTATACTATAACAATTCGGATTTGTGAGAATTATTTTTCTTTTGAATTAATGACTGTATCATATCAAATACATCGGCTGTATTCACAAAGGTGTTCAACCCACTAGACTAACGGGATCGGGTGGTCAGGTTCGCTGACTTGGTTGATGCATGTTGATGCATGTCATCGTTTCCCATTTGCATAGATAATGCGAATGATTTCAATCAATGGATTGTCTGGCCCAGACTCGATTATTTACATATAGCTGGAATAATGCTGACTGCGGCATTAAACAACAAACAAACAAACAAGCTAACACAAAGGTGTTTAAGCCAGCGGCTCATATCGCATAGTGTTACAATAACCTCATAATGTTTTTGTGCTGTTTTCGAAAGATTTGGATATTTTTTATCTTAGTAGATTAAATATTTGAGTCATATCTATGACTATGAGATTTGTGTCGTATCTATGTTCAAAATCAAGTCATCTCGTTTTATCATTAACAATGATAACAACAATTAGTCTTGATTGATTTAAGCTTCCAGAACGCCGTGATATAACTGGAATACTGTTAAAAGCGGCGTAAAACCCAACTCACTCATACTGATTTTCAGTCGTGTATATTTAGCCATTGGTCTGGTTTTGATGGAATTTTTAGGCTTACCCAGCGTCCAGAACTCGGCAGAAAGTAGGCGCGGGGGCCTGGATCAGTGTCTATTCAATACGACCTTACTCCGTTTTTACAAAACACAGAAAGAGAAGCAGGCAATTAATGTTCTCATACATTCACGAACATGGTACCAGGATACTTGTATAAGTTATCTTGAAACATCCTATTTCCTGTGCTTTTATTACAAACTCACAAACCGTACAAGAAATAAGAAATCCTTTTCAAACATAATAGAGCGTAATGTGTTCTCTTTAGTTCTAAATACAACATAATTGAATAATGGATCAACTAAGAGGCATTTTTAGTATTTACCCGAGGAAGTATTCAGTGTCCAAGACTGCGTAATTAAAACTGCCAGTAGGTTGTTTTGCTGTGTACAAGTAAGTCCCTTTGAGAATCACATTACCGATGATTGCGATGGTTT